TACATATCCGTCACAGTGCCCCATGAGCTGAGCCTCTACCTGGCTCAAGACGGCATTACTTTGTTGTACTTACAGCTACAGCTGCCATTTTGGTAGTGCAGCCTGGTAAGCACAACGTTCGAATACACCTACCTACATGTTACCCAAGACAATCTAGTATCACGGTCAAGCAAAGCGTCGCTCCACAGGTGGACGCGTTACAACGCATTATAATCATAATTGTGGGTTGTGGCTAGCGACCACAACACGTGTAGGTCCGCACGCTTGGACATACATGTTCTCGTACAACACTTTCTAACCAACAGGAATGTCAACTCGCGAAATAGCCACCCGACCACCAACAGGACAAGACACTGTACCTTTTGTTTGAGGAGTTATGCCCTCCGCTACTCCAATCTGCACAGCGGTCCTGATGCAGGCGTGCAGTCCGTTGCGAGTGTGCCGGTTGCCCTGCCAAGTAAGCGTTATGATAGCAATCCAGTCGAATATTCGACGGTCGAAAGGTGACGAACTGCCAGCAGAGAACCGAAAACAAACAGGAGGTCGGAGGTTGGAGAAATGAGTCACCAGAAACTGTTCCGACTTTGAGAACGCATAAACTACTTTGCGCTGGCATTGCCGACAGCAATGGAAAACCCACTACACTCTACAGGATCACAACAAGGCAGTTTAGTACCGAAAGACGGCGGCCTCGCTCTCTACGTGACCTCCACAAATTAGACACATGTCGCCAGAATTAAACTTACCACAAGTCCAGATACTACATCGTCAATCCGTCACCATCATGCGCTCGTAGCCGAACCAATGCATGAAGCATAAACACACCGGCACAGCAAGGACACTTCCTTTGACGGATAATTAGTTATTTTGGAGCTTTGAGTATGGCCGAAAGCTCTGTTGCAATATTTTATTGACAAGTCCAGATCGGGAAAAGTAATTTCACCAACACTGCAACGCGCCTCCGCGTGACTAAAAATAATGGAGGTTAGGCGTTTCCTGCAGTCATTACAAAGAGCTTGTGGAAATGGTCTTCACGAGGCTCTAGTGCTGGTCGAAATAGCGAGTCGGAAGAATTTAGCGACAGTTCGGACACTGCAAGCCACGCAGCTACAGAGCACCGACGCATACCGACAGAAGGATAAAATCATCTTATAAGAAGAAAAAGAGGACCAAAGATAAATTATCTGCACGTGAAGGACATGTGCGGGCGTGCTTACCGCGTACATCACTACCAGTCTCTTCTTGCAGCCGGGCAACACTCTTCCATGGAATTTGCGCATGCGCAGTCGAACTGATAATGGCAATAACAGTTACTGTTCCTTCACCGGTCACCTTGGAGGGAAGAAAAGGAGGACAAAACAGGAAGGGCATAAAGGTGAGGTACAGCGGCAAAGGAGCAGCAGCGAGAATCACCACAAAGTGCAATTGCGAAAGGAAGACACAGCGCAAATACCAGTCGTGTGGTTAGTGGACAACAAATACCGGCGGCCACACCAAACAAATGAAGTTAGCGGGGAAAAAACGATCTCAACAATCACTTGCAACCCATGGTGAACGAAATCAAACCCTTACCATCGCTGCAGTCGCCCGTAATTGTTGGTTGAAATTTCTCACCGTGGGGCTGCTGCTACATAGCGCAGCTCTGTCTTTGCTTCGTAGAGTCTACCGCCGCTTCGCCCACAACCTCAAAAGCAAGGCGGATGATTTTTCTTCATGTCCCGCTTCAGGGCACTCCGTTAGCGAACGGTTTAGGGATTGGTCTCTCCACTATCGGACATAAGCTACTTGAAATGTCTCCCAGCGGAGCATCGTGTACGATAACGCAAGTCACAACTCAGTTCATCTCGAATGCAATTATTTGACACAAGAACACAAACCACCTACACCTAGCTAGGCAAGAGAAGGAAACTCCGAGAGAGAGAGAGAGAGCGCTGAAACTCAATCCACCTCCTACAACAACAACGAAGAAAATGAGCCGTTGGGGCGTTCGGACGAAGCTCCGCAGTTGCGTCCTGGTTCCAAGAAGCTCGTAAGCGCTGCGAGACGTGCAGGGGTCATGGGGTCACAGGTTCATCTCCGGTAGATTACTGCATAAACAGTTTGTTTCCATGGAGATCGTGCGAGAGGAAGACTAGAGAACATTACGTGGTCGACGTCTATTGGTCAACGCCGGTTGGAATTCTGCGAAAGCACGTGGCAAATGTGACCCGAGTCATTCGAGAACGTGGTGCGATATGTAACTTGTTCCACAATCACAAGTCTACCACCGGTGCACCGCGGGCCGGCCGGCAAGCAGTCTAAAGCAAGGGTCCACAGACCACGACCCCAGTGCAAGGGGTTATCAGGGTTATCATGGCTAGCCTATACCGGTAGTCTAGACTCTTGCAGTCTTGGACTCTTGTTGGTTGTTGGCAGCTTGTACTAGTTGTAGCCCTGAGTGGAATGCCCCAGCTGGCCTCTCGTTTGCCAGCGGCTGCTCCTAGACCTGCTCGTATCACACTCGCGACTCGACTGCCATGGTACCAGTGTGTAGACGTGTGGCACATCAGCATCATACATGTATCAGTGAGGACTCCTGCTGTCGACGGGCGGACAGGGCGGTCTGAATCCTGGACGGCAACCGAGCCTGTCGGGTTCGCAGATCTCGGCGGTACGGTGAGTCTCGCCTCGTCATCTCGCTACGCGCAACATACTTTCCAGTGGCATCATTATTCTCGCTTTATTGCAATCAGATCCCCTCATCCTCATCTCCTAAGGTTAGAGGCGTGAAAATTATCTGTCACTTTGTAGACATGGTTAGCATTTTACCGTTCACGCTATTTTCGACGGTCGGCCTGTACCGTTTTTGTGTGTGTAGACATGGCACTTTATCGTTCACACTCTAGATCCAACGGTACTCGTACCCAGCACCCAAAATACCGTCGGTTTGGTACCGTTTCGACGATAGAAAGCTCTTTTTTGCGGGAGAACGAAACGGTAAGATTCCAACTAGGGTTGCGTCACAAGTCGATCGTTGCGCCAGGGGTCAGCGGAAGCGTCTTTGCTGTGCTACTGCAGTATTGTTTATGCTTCCTGCATTGGTTCGGCTAAGACTATAAATAAAGTATTTCAAGTATATAACAACAGCAACATGTGACAAGAGCGCATGGTGATGACGGGTTGAGGGTGTAGTAACTCTTGTCTTGGTGGTGGTCATGTAGATCTACCTAAAAAGGAAAAGGAAAGACGGCCTAGCTTATTTCCTCCATGATTCTACTGGTTGAAAGAGGCGACCTTGTGAGCTGTTCGAGTTTCTGCGGTGCAGACCTCTTTGCAGCAATACAGCCCCTACTGTACATGTATTGTAAAGTCATTTCTGCTGTATAAGAATGATCATTCTTAGTAAGAATGATCATTTCTTTACACACCATTATCATCCTCTACTGATGAGCTCGAAGGAGAGAAACAGCTGTCTGGAAGCAAAATTTGTATTACATACCCACAAACGACATAAAAAAACCGTGGCTGTCCGCCATTGCGGTGGATAGATACGGTTCGGCACGACCTGAAGGCAGCGGATCTCTCCGTGGAGAGCGCTCTCCAAGCCGCAGGAGATAAACTAAGTTGGCTTGACACTGTTGACAGATGCGTCGACTCTGCAGTATTATATAAATATTATACCCACAGTATAAGGGGCCGTCCGTAAATACATGTATTTACTTAAAGACGTCTAAGAGGCGCTTCTTTTTGAGCGTGGATCAAAAGTATAAAAGAACACGTCTTGCACCATGGCTGATAGCTCGGCCTACTTAGGGTGCGTTCTTAAATCCTCTCGGAAAAGTTGGAGACTCTCCGAAAAGTTCGAGAGCTGTTCTTATATCCTCTCCGAATTTTAGGAGGCTCTCCAAAGCTCTCCAAGCTCTCCAAGCTTCAGAGGTGGTTGAAACTTGGAGATTCCCGCGGTTTGGGACCAGCGCATGCGAACTAGGCTAAAAGCCACGTGTTGATCATGAGTGTACGCATTTCCCTTTTCGCATACGCACAGCGCATACTATATTCGTGGCACTCAAGATCGCGGCCCCTTTGGCGCTTCATATTGCTTGACATGTGCAAAATATCTCCGAATTCTTCGAGACCCGTTCTTGAATTATACCAGTTTCTTCGACTTCTCTTTTCTTCTTCTCCTAGAAGCTAGAGAATATAAGAACGCACCCTTAGCTCGTAGCTGAACTGATGAGGCCTTTATGGCCGAAACAGCTTGCTGTCTACAGCATTGGGTAAAAGAACACGTCTCTAATAAGAGTACATGCCTGAATGATGTGATGAGCATTACTGAGTAGTACAGGTCTGACCACCTTTGAAAAAATAAAAGTACATGTACTGTACATTTATTGGGGAAAATACGGTAGTTATTATATTTCCACTCGCAACTAGAGCAAATGGCAAGAAGGAGTATACAGTCAACTTCGCTTGTAACCAGGGAGTAGTACAATACCACTACTACTCCCTGCTTGTAACGACACTCGGCGGGGCATCAAAAAGGTGTCCTTATTCACGAGAGTGTCGTTATACCCGAAGTCTCATTATATTATGTATTACAGTGGGATGGGACTTTGCTCTGGGCATGGAAATTCTGTCGTTATTAGCGAATTGTCGTTATATCCGCAGTCGTTATTAGCAAAGTTGACTGTACATGTACCAGTACGTGCAGGTGCTCATAATGGAGAGACATAGGCGTCTACAGAATTCTAGAAGCAGTTTTGCCCAGGGAGTTGTAAAATACTTTTTCGTATTTTACGACTCTCTGGTTTTGCCATACTGCAGTGGTTGCCAATTGTCATGCAAGCAGTAGGCAGGTCCTCGAAGTTCAGAAAACTGCGTTTTTCGTACTTTCAAGTGGCCAAAGTACAACAAAATGCATAAGTATCCCCATACGAATATCATTTCTGGGGTCAATGCGTGCCACAGAACAACTTAGAACAGGGACAACAGCACTTCTGTAAAAGTTTTTTTCATGGTGAAAGTGCTTCGAGCTACCTTTTAAAAGCAAGAAGAAGTTGCATGCCAGCACATGGTACAGACATCCTGCACATAGTCTGTCGATAGCAAATCAAGAAAGGGATACGAAGAACTAAAATCGATGAAAAAAATAACATTGAATCATCCAGAACAGAGAGAGAGAGAGAGAGAGAGAGAGAGAGAGAGAGAGAGAGAGAGAGAGAGAGAGAGAGAGAGAGAGAGAGAGAGAGAGAGAGAGAGAGAGAGAGAGAGAGAGATGGAGCTGGAGAGAATGCGTGCACATGAGTTCATGCAAAGCGGCACAGCGCTGGATGACCAAACTCGGCCATCCAGCGGCTGCACTAACGTTATGATGCAATCAAGATGCAACAACATGGCCAAAATGAAATCATACTGTACTCGTAAACACATTGAAATAAATAATTGTTCCAAAGAGAGGTGAAATAAATTCAAATAATACAATGTAAATCTATGCAGCGCAAACAGGTAGATGTCGGTTGCATCATGGGACGAAAGTGTTCAAATCAGCCACGACAGTATAGTAATAACAATAATCCGCAATGCATAAATACAGACAGCATGGTGCGTGCAACAATGTACTAAAATGGTCAACGACTGTTCCGTTCTTGAAGAAATCTACTTCGAAGTATCAATGTCAAATTCCAGTTGGAAAGAATGGTGAACTTCCCGTGCCCTGTTCTGATAGCGGACACTTGGCAAGGAGCGAAAGTGGAAGCATCAGAGCAGGTAGAGAAAGACCAGTGCAATACATAGTTTGGTGAGTCAGCCCCCCGCAAGGAGTCCCGAAGAACTGCCACTGGTGCCATCAGAATCGGAGAGACTGCTTGATCATCAGCAACATGGGTGCTGCTACAGGGCGCGGCGGAAAGGGAATACCTATCTATAATTCCATCCACAATGGGCTAGGTTGGCGGGGCGGGTAGTCGAGTAAAACATCGAATGCATACATTGCCGATGATGGCACTATGGGGTGGGGTGGAGTGGGGGTGCACAACAGAGGACCATAGTACTACGCATGCTGGGAAGGACAAGGGTGCAGTGGCAGCAGCGGGAGGAGACGAGACACAATGCATGCACCACCACCACGTTCCAGGGCTGATAGCACCGATGAGCGATGACGTCAAGCGCAGAACCATTCTTTCTTGCTTGGCGCGGCCGAGAACTGGTGACTATTCACTTCACGTGTGCTAGGAGTGTTCGAACACGGTCAGTGTATCATACACCAGGCTAATCTGGTCGTGCAGACAGCAGCGAGCGTCCACCAGACCATGTGCGGGTAGCAAGAGACGCTTCTCGAAATCTGCACAGCTAGTACACAAGTTGCCTGCGCAATACCAGTCAGTCAACACATAACCGAATCCACTGGTCTTCGCATTCTGCAATTACCCACAGCGTGTTCGAAAACGTGTGCTTTTTCTGGTGTAGCAGAAGCCAACTTGCAAACCAAACACCCTGGCGGGGTTGTTGTCAGCACAGTGATCTTGTCGAGGTTCAATTGTCTGAACCATTGTCGTTGCCGCCTTCATCGTCTTCATCACCGGCCAGGTCTCCGCTTCGCAGGTCGCTGCGGCGAATTGCCTCCAGGTGCTCATCATCGACCTCATCGCCGGAGTCCACAGCCATTTGATGGTCGTTGAGTGTGATGCTAGGTCGATGCTCACGGCGCGGCTTCACCGGTGAGTCGAAGCTATCGTTGTCGCAGTCATCATCGGATAGATCACCGACCAGCTCTCCCTCCAGCAGGTCCATGTCCTCGTCGTCGATGCGCAGGGCGGCGTGCAGCCTGGTGATGCGCTCGTTAGCCTGCTGCACTTGCCGGCGAGACTGGGCCAGGTCAGCCTCGGCCGTGGTGCGGTTCAGCTCCTACAGCAGACAAGACAAGAACACACACCCAGAGATTAGGTTTGTTACAAGAGTTCTCGGCAATTTCCAACATTAAAGTGTGTTTCAAAAATATAGACGCGTGATTTCGAAAAACCGTTAGGCCAGCATCTATACCACATAAACTCTGTGATCACTTTGTGCATAAAAATTTCGAAATTGGGCGTTTGCTATCCGATCGCTTAAAAATTGATATGAGAGTAATTGCAGGAAGGACCTGAGCAATATTTCGAAAGAAATTCTCAAAAAGCTCCAGCCAAATTTGAAATAATTATTTCAAAAATACCATGGGTCCATATTTTTGAAATGGACTGTAAGTAACTTAGTTTACTGTGTTCACCGGGATGATGGGCCATGGCTTAAAATGTTGGCAAACACTTTTAGTGACGTGTGCAGCGAAGAGACCATATTGAGTGTTTGAGTTGAGGGACGCCGCCGCCGATGGCATTTTGAACATGCCATGCTATCATATAAAAAAAAATGGAACATGAAATATCCTGGCCTGCGAAGTAAGTTATACATCATGCCGCGCACCTACCGTATTTCCCCGATTATAAGTCGCACCCCCATTTTAAGGTTTGAGCCATATTGATTTGATATATTGACTTCAGTAGTTAGTCATGCTCGATTGTAAGTCGCACACTTTTTTTACCCTGGGATTTTAGTGTACAAAGGTGCGACTTATATTCAGGGAAATACGGTATTCAGATGCCATTTAGAGTCACAAGGAGATGGGATGGGGAAGTAGAAAGAGGTAGAGATACTTGTAGATAAAAGAGAGAGAGAGAGAGAGCTGTTTGCGAGGACTTTGACTGACACTACATAGCCACGGTGATAAGCCTCAGCAGCAAACAGATGATGATAAACGATGATGTTGTGTGCGCGCACGCGTGTGTGTGTGTGTGTGTGTGTGTGCGTGCACGTGCGTATGTGCACATGTGCAGTACGTACAGATTCTCGGAGCTTCTTGCGCAGGCAATCCTCCTGCTTCTCCAGATTAGATACGGTCTCGCGTAGGTTCTTCTCTCTCGTTAGACTGCAGCCAGAGAGAGAGAGAGAGAGAGAGACAGACATACAGGCAAGCAAGCAGCAGACATGCACACCGACGGAAAAGTGAAGAATACATTAGCAGTCTGCTACCATGGCACAAGGAACAGTAATAACAATAACGATAGAACTAAGAAAGGACCAATGAACTGCAAGTTACACTATGATGTCCACTAGTACCACCAGTTACTTGACAATCAGCTCAAGGGTGGTGTTAGTGGACATTATAGTGTAACGTGTAGTTCAGTGGTTCTTTGTTCTTCCTATAAATCCTTGGCTCTCCAACCGAGTCTAACAATGATGGAACAACCGGCGTACTCGGCAGCAATGCTAACCTTTCGGCTCCTTTTCCAAGTTATGACTCCCGTCTATTGTTGTATTATAGACAATCACATCCCTTCAAGTTTCTCCGATAGAGTGTTCCTGAACATTGTATGAGTACATCGTCTATGGGTTTTAGATGGTTGACTTACTTGAGTGCAACATCCGGGTTGACCCGTTCAGTCTCATCCCGTGTCAGCTGATCAACCTGCTCTTTGAGACGTGCCACTTGATTCTGTGTGGTCATACGCACACACAGGAGAGAGAGAGAGAGAGAGAGAGAGAGAGAGAGAGAGAGAGAGAGAGAGAGAGAGAGAGAGAGAGAGAGAGAGAGGAGAGTGAATGAGTGAGTGTGTGTGTGAGAGAGAGAGAGAGGAGAGTGAAGGAGTGAGTGCGTGTGTGTGTGTGTGTGTGTGTGTGTGTGTGTGAGAGAGAGAGAGAGAGAGAGAGAGAGAGAGAGAGAGAGAAGGAGAATGAAGGAGTGAGTGTGTGAGAGAGTGAGTGAGACAGTGGGTGCATGCATGCATGTGTGCATGTGTGTGTGTGTGTGTGTGTGTGTATGTGTGTGTGTGTGTCACTTCATAGCTGTGAGGTGTAGACCAGGCTGAATAGTAGCGGTCAATTCTTCAGCCTTGCAAGCTGTTGAATGGTGCAATCCCAGCACAAGCTGCTATGGGTTCTGCTGTAGCATCGCTATCATCGCCTCCGGCGATGGGCGTCAAATGGTCAAATGGTGTGTGTGTGTGTGTGTGTGTGTGTGTGTGCCGCTGTTTCCGGAGCAAAGCTGGGCACCGCCGGCACAACGGCAACCGCAGGACATGCAGCTCTGACTCCGAGCGCCGCACCATCCCATGCCCGACCTGCTCTCGGAAGTTCACACGTCTCCAGTACCTGGCTCAACACAAATGCAAGAAGTAACTCTGCCCTCCTTGCCTCTTTGAGGCACTGCATCACCTTTAGGTGGCAGTTTCAAGGTTTTAAGGTGTGTGTGTGTGTGTGTGTGTGTGTGTTAGGCCCAGACAGATCCTGCCGGCAATTCGTTCGGCAAAATATCGAAGAATTGAAAGAGCGGAAATTGCCGGCAAAATTGGAGCAAAATATCGAGAGGTTGGGTAAAATCGATGCCTGATACTTGGATTTCCTTGTTTCTTACCCGTTCAGCATGATTCACTGCCTAGTGGAGATCATGTCACCGAAATATCACTGTGATTCACTGTGGGTCGACATAATTTTGGAAGAACTCAGGGACACGTGCGTGGAAAAAACTGGAAACCCGTGTTGAGAAATCGACCCTGCGATTTTGATGAAACTGTGTACAGGATTGTACAGGAAGTGGATTAAATACACGTTTTTCAGGAGCAAAATGAAGCAAAATATCGAGTTTCTTGTGCCAGGCTCGGCAAAATATCGAAGATTTCGCAGCAACATTTTGCGGCAAAATATCGAGGCGAGCGGAGCAGAATCTGTCTGGGCCTAGTGTGTGTGTGCCCCCAACATGTCAGAAGGCTACCTTCTTGCCAAACCATTTTGGAGGTTGGACTAGTTTCGACTCCACAATCCAGTGTGTCGTTACTATAATAGCTATCATGGCTGAGGTGATTGGTATGCCTATTGCTTCTGGGTTCCCAGTACCCAGTTGCCGAGGCTGGTTGGTAAAGTCACTCAAATTTCACTTCAATGTACCAGTGCATCTAGTGTCTGCTTCTATCAAAGCAGCGTGCTGTCTATACTGGTTACCCCAGCAAGTGTAGTGTGTGCATAACGTTAGGTGACTGTCTTGGCCGTCCTATTCCGATGTACTTCGTGTGGTGTAGACCAGGTGTTCATTGGGGGGGGGGGGGGGGGGGTCGATTCACATGGCTTCGCCAGTTGTCCGGATTAGACAGTTATCTGGCGCATGTCTTGATCTGCTTCATTCTGGATCAGATCCGCTATCGCTGCTATAAAGAGAAAATCTGTGGGTACACATCCAGTGCATTTGTAGATTTGTGTGCTTCTCTTGCGACGGGCGTATACATGGTACATGATGTGTGTGTGTGACACACACAGGACATACCTCATGGCGTCTGCGTGTGACAGTCTCCGCTGACAACTTGTCTTCCAGTACACGGATCTAAAACAGAACCAGCACATCGTCACAGCAAGAGAAATCAGGGTTTAGTATACGCATTCAGAGCAACTGTCATCGCTGTTGAACAGCTGAGACAGGAGTCATGTATCATATAGGCGGCACCTGTCTGGATACTGGGTACAGTCCAAATCAAAAAATTATAGACGCATGGTATTTTTGAAAAATTTCAAATTTGGCTAGAGCTTGTTGAGAATTTTGCTGAGGTCCTTCTCACGATTACTCTCATATAGATTTTTAGGCGATCAGATAACAAACGCCCAATTTCGAAATTTTTGTGCACAACGTGATCACAGATTTGATGTGGTATAGATGCTGGCCTAACGGTTTTTTTGAAATCACGTGTCTATATTTTGAAATGCACTGAGTTAGGATAGCTTATAAGCACACACTGCTTTCGCCTGTGCACCAGCTAGAACAGGTCAGTGACATGAGTGGCTAGATCATAGTGCATGCTGGCTACTGCAAGTGACAACAATGCCCGATCTTCGATCTGCGTGTCCATGAAGAAAAATGGACGGAGGAGAATTGAAAACGAACAACAATGAAGCTGACCTTTGCTAGATAAGTGCCGTGCTGGGACGTTCGTGTCTCGCACGATTCCTCCAGAGACACTACTCTAGCTTCGAGTGACTGCTTTTCTCGCTTCAGATGTGCGTGCATCAGATTGGAGTCCTCCACCTGACAGCGCAGTGTCTCCAGCTCGCCTATCATATGTGCAACCTACACGCAAACACAGACACAGACATACACGGAGACACAAACACAGACACACAAGGACAAGGGCATACACACAAACATCAAAATTTAATGTTGGTTTTTGGATTGCAAAAGCTTGGCACACAAAACCATGAATTAGTCAAAGAAAACAACACAGCCAGCAACGAAGGTACACGGATTAGAGAATAGAGAGAAATGGAGAGAGAGAGAGAGAAAAAAAGAAGAAGGAGATAGATAGAGTGAGAGAGAGAGAAGGGAGAGAAGAGCCACCGGTAATAGTGATGCTTCTCAAAGCAGCATAAACATCGATTCCACTCGGTTTGTTGTGAATGGTCGCTTTCCTTGCATCATATCTCTTTCATGGCATGCCAGGTAAGGCAGAGAAAGTAATCGTGACTAATTTAGTAATTTCACGACAGTTTGTGCGCAAACCAGCCCTCAAAGCAGCAAAGTCACCCAGTTAGCTCAAATGCCCAGCTAGTCGAAGTGCAAGGTGCTTGAAAACAAGGATTATCACCTACCTTTTCGGTTCCATTCTTCAGTTTGGATGCCATCTCCTCGATGTCTTCTTCCGTCTCCTCCAGCCTGGCTTCTAATTCCATATTGGCCTTGTTGGACACGCTGAGACGACTTTCCAACTAGGTTGACACCGGCACCCACCGACACCGACACACATACACACATTAACATGCACGCACCCACCGACACACACACACATACACACACATACACACACATAGTCAAGCCAAGAGTGTGCAACTCGACTATGGGTGCTGGCCCGACAGAATTTCAAGTTGATGTCATTTTTATGATGCAATGAGCACTGTACACGGATTATCAGACATATCCTGAACCTGTGGTGGACCAAAGTCCATCTGATCTCGCACAAACTATTGCAAAGTAAAACGTGTGATGCGTTGACACCCGTACACACGTTGAAAATCACTGGTGCAAGGAGCACTGCATCATCAAAATGACGTCAACTTGAGAGCTGCATATACACCAATCAACAACTTGTCAGACTGAGAACATGAGCAGCACTGTACTGTACATGTGATAGTTCAGTCAACACCACCGATACATGTAGAGGCGACGGTTTCAAATAGGACACAGGTTGCAAACCGGAACGGACTCAATATTCACTTGCTCCCTTGGTATTTTGATTAGAAAACATATGTCACAGTGAGACTACGATGTGTTATACTCCGAGCCAAAATTTCATGGCTCTGCGATGTCCAGAAGCGCCATACCAAGCAGGTGAGTTTTTGACGTGTTGCTTCGCACTGCGACTTGAGTTTTACGACTTTCGAAAAATCAACTTCTTGTCGCAGGTAAACAGCGGCTCGCCTCTCGCGAATAAAGCACCGCATACCAATCAAAACTAATGGAAGCACACACAAGGCTTATTGTTACTCTGTACTGGCCGTCGTGGAGCGATAGCAATTACATAATTTCAGACCCAGAGTGAATTTGACGTGCACTCTAAAACCTGTCCGGTTTGGAGCCACCTCTGATGTGAAGTGAAAAATTGGGCAATTTGGAGGCAATGGGTCAACACAAAGGAGTGGCTCAGTTCGATTGACTCTGGCCTCAGAGCAAACTTCAACATGCCAGTTTCCTTCCACAAACATATAATTATTTCGAGTGAACAATCAACGCTGATGATCGGTTTGGGTCTATACAAATTAGGCTGTCAAGCCGTTCCGGTATCGAACCGTCGCCTCTACACTGCTCACAATGTCTCACACAGGCAGACCATGTTGTATGCCTATTGCCAATGCAATGGCAGCAATAACGGTGTGCAGAACTTCGCTGAAGTTCCAAACCAACTTGGCAAGTTAGCAATGAACCAAACACAGACACACATGCACCCACTTACATCAGCAATGTTTCTGCGCAGCAAGTCAGCATTGGCGTGTGCTTCATCCAGGTCAGCCTCCAGTCCACTCTTAGCTCGCTTGCTTTGACTCAAGGCAACACCAAGCTCTTCAATCTGCACACATGCACAGACACATACACACACAGACACATACAGACGCACACACAGACACAGACGCACACACAGATGCACACACAGACACAGACACAGACGCACACACACACACATAGACACACATAGACACATACACATGCGCATACACACACAGACACCTTTGACGCCCATCGCCGGAGGCGATGATAGCAATGCTATGGCAGAAGCCATAGCAACTTGTGCTGGGATTGCACCATTCAACAGCTTGCAAGGCTGAAGAATTGACCGTCACTATTCAGCCTGGTCAACACCATACAGCTATTTGAAGTGACTTTTTCTGGCCAGTGAATCCCTATTTTTGGTCTTTTTTTGGTCTTTTTTCTTTTCTTTTTTTTTCTTCTTTTTTCCCCTGCACACACAGACACATGCGCATACACACACACACACACACACGCACGCGCGTGCACACACATCATTGATACCAAATTCACATGTATGGAAGCAGGCAATGATGCTGATGAACCTCCAGATTTGTATGGAAGGGAATCAAAGATCACATCATTAAAATGGTAAATAAAGAGATGGAGTCATTGAGTTATTGCAACCATAACCAGTACCTGAAGTTTGAGGTTCTTAGCGACTGACTTGTCCTCCATTCTCTTCTGATGGCCCTGGATTTGCATTTGAGCGTCCTCCAGCAGCGCCAGAGTTCGGTGCAAGTGCTTACGTAGACGACGCTCCGCCTCCGGATTGCCGTGCTGTGCATGCTCTCGCAACTCCATCAGCTGCAACTCGGCATCACGATGTGCCTGCAAACACCACCACAACGCCCCAAGAAATACAAGAAATGTCATTTCATCACTATTCATCAAGTTAGAAATCAGGAGGAAGCCACTGCAAGAAGCTTTTTAAGCGGGACCCACAGAAGTTTTTTTGCGATGCGCAATGTGACGCGATCTTCGACGGCGGCGTGCGATGCAAACTCGCGAAATACCGTCCACAGAAGAAGTCAGCGGTATGACGTCACCTTGCTGACTCGGCGCGAAGTTCAATGCAGGCAAGAGTACATCACCATAGTAAAAATGTGGCTGTGTGCAACTTTTAAAATCTACAAGCAACTTTTGAGCCTTTTCTACAACTTTGCTGCAAAAAAGGTCAAAGTCACACATTGCATTGCGATAGTTGACCCAAGCTAAACTTCTACTATGGCCCAGTTGTGACAGTTGCATGAGCTGCGAGATGGATGCGGTTTGGGGATTTCCCGGTTTCGGGGCCGTCGCATTGCAAAAAATGCTTCTGTGCATCTCGCTTCAGAGTTTGCTACAGAAATGAAATATTCAATCATGCATCGGTAGGGATGAGTTATCAATAATGACAGACCAGTACTGTCGTATGCCTCATTGCCCGTGTGCGCCCGTGTGTGTGTGTGTGTGTGTGTGTGTGTGTGTGTGTGTGTGGTGTGTGCCAGAAATCAAGCATTCACAACAGCCATGCCAACACACACCACACATGCACCCACCTTGACGGCGTTCTGTCGCATCAAGTACTCGTCCTCGAGCTGTTTCTCCAGTCCGCGGACACGGCGCTGGAACGATGCCTTGAAACTCTCTCGCTCTTCTTCTCTCACGGCTAGGTCTTGCTGTTGTTGTTGTCGAAGAAGCTGATTTCCTGTTTCGAGACGAGTTCGAGCCTAAAAAAGACCACAAAACAACACAAGTTGCATTGGATTCGACATACATGTGCATGTAGAACACACATAAGCTGTCAGGCGAGTTCTAAAGGCATTTTTCCTATTGGGCAATATTGGTGAAAAGTAGGTTGACTGCATATATCCTCACTCCAACCGGCATGCCAAACACTGTACAGTCAGACCTCGCTTAACCGCACACATCTGTTTTCCATAAAAAATATCCAGATAGGCAAGGGAACCGGATAACTGAACACACATACTGAATATGCATGTGGCATGTCAAAAGCAGTGGCATCGTACATACATGTAGACGGGTCCTATGCAGTACAACTAGCGTGCACAGTATGTAAAACAAGCGAGAAAAATGACAAGTGCATGCAACGGAGTCACTGCTATCCGCATGCATGCAGCAGGTCAAGGACCTCATTTGCTTGTACAACTCACTGATTCCTGCTTCTGCAAGCCACGTGCAACCGGATACGACAAAGCTTTTTGTACACATTTTAACCAGTTTTTACACAAAATCATGCACCGGTATGCGAATCGGGAGGTCCGGTTATGTTGTATGCATAACATATGCTGCACATCGGTAACCAGCGATTTTCTTCCGGATGGCGAGGGATCCGGATAAACGAGGACCGGATAAGCGAGGTCTGACTGTACACTTCACATGCACACCTACATAAATATACTCCCTGCAACAAACACACATGCGCGTGCACACACACACTTGCACTTGCTCACTGCCAAAACTGGTCACGTGGGTCTCCCCTTGGGAAAGGGGAAGGAGACTCAAAGGGAATCTTGGAAAGATCACTCAATTGGCTATTGAACCGCACCATGGCTAACATCCCATGATATCCCCAAACTCTGGGTGGAGTTGGAAATGATCCCACTTATGCGCTCACCAGTAAGTGTGTGCGGACAAGGTGTAGAAAAAGGATTGACGGCAGCAGGGTATCCGTCCTGGGATCCAACTGCCTTTACCCCTGCCCCCCCCCCCCCTCATGAAGGTAACTTGCTGCTAGTGTGGGTGGCTAAATCAGAGTGGATCTGATATAAGCTTCACTAGCACCATTGATTAAACAACAGTTAATCTAGCCAGAAGCAGTCCATGATTAACAGGTATGTATGTATACTTCAAATAGAAAGTATATGAACCCTGAAACCAAAAAGGCGGCAGGTACAACCATACACCTTCAAGCAGCCGACCCTGATGGCAGCAGACCCAACACTATCTGGCATAAGCGTACCCACCAACTGAGTCAGCTGGCACACCCACCCACACACCTCCCCCTCCCTACACTCACGCATACACCTAAGCAAAGCACCCCACCTGCTCAAGAATGTGCACTTTGCTCGCAAGCTCCTCCAGTTCTTCATCTTGTTCTTCCAACTTCAGCATGAGCGCACGCTTTTCTTTACGAATACATGCCAACTGGAGAACACAGCACAGGACAACATACCACAAGAACACAATCATTCTCACAAATTCACAATACATGCTAACTGAAGACCATAGCACACCAACACAATCATTATCACAATACATGTCAGTTGGAGAACACAGCACAACACATTATTTTCAGCCAGCTTCCAGGATTCTCCAACGCCTTGGTGGCTTTGAGCAGATAAAAAGAACGGATGGTATTGGAGGAATTGAGATACCCGAGCTGTGCAGTGTGCATCCGCATGCTGCACACTGCATGAGTTCTTAAAAGAAGTGTGACGGAGTTCGTACACTCAGATCCAGGTTTGAGAAGTCCCTGCAGAGCTCTCATGCAGGTTCATATCGCTTTGCTTTGGAAACATAGTTTACTAGTGCCGAGCTTAGAGGACACAGAGTATAAATACAGTACAGCCACACCTGTGTTTGCCGGACCCCGTACCAAGCGCAATACTGTATTGACTAGACAAGTTTTCATGCACCAACGTGCTGTGGATCAAACTTGCATCCCTGAACCATGCAGAATTCTGTTACATCAGGACAGTTTCCGTTGCACCAACGGCGTCTGGTTAGAGCAGGTTTTCTGTACTTTGCTTACCTCGTCTTCCACACCATCGTGGGACGCCCGACTCTCCTCTTCCTCTCGCAGACGCTCAATCTCATTGCGTAGCTTGTCACACTCGCTCTCGACTTCTTCCAGCTTGTTGTCCAAGGCAAGGCGCTGTGATGTTTCCGCCTCTTTCTGCGACATGATCTGAGCACGAAGGTCCTTCTCGTTCTGTGCAGCGTTCATTGCGGATGAGAGGTCCGCATCAAACCTGAGTGAGCAAACACATGCACGCAAACATCCCGTCAACTCACCACAATCACAAGCATTCCCAGTGACCATTTGACCTCATACTTTCAACCTCACTTTCGGTCTTTCACCACTTTGTGGTGGGTCTGATCTACTCACCTCCCACCGCTTAGGAGCTGCATCTGTGCCTTGATCCTAGAGGGTGGTGGCAATGCTGCGGATGCGGAAAACTCGGCCTCGCGCGAACCGTGATTTAAAAAATTTAATTGTTCAACCTGACGAATAACAACAACCCATGAATAAGGACACTTTTCTCATGCACAGTCAAAGCTCATTGTTCGCAAGGTTGACCAACTACTATAAAACACCTACTACTACTACTACTACTAGTAGCTGAAAGTGACCAGTGTCGTTATACTCCTACTCACCGTCTCTGCTTGCGTTCCAGGATCGAGTTTCGTTGCTGTTCATCTTCCAAATGAGAGCGAAGATCAGCTAGTTCAGACTCCAACCGCAGCACCTTCTTACGCATGGACGTGGACTTCTGGTAGGCTTCATCCAGATCAGACCGCAGCAATGTAATCTGAAAACGGTACACAGGTACATGTATTGACAGAGGTAGGTACGATAACAACAAGACACACTTCTTCTGTTATTGGCCACAGGCCATCGTGAGAATGAAAGAGTTCAAACCAAAACACATCAACGGGAAGGAAGATCCATGTCACCTTTGACAGTACAATCTTGAACAGCATCACAATCACCACTACCAACACCACTCAGCAGCAACAGCAGCAGTAGCGTCAGCAGTAATCAGCCTGGCAACGTACCTGTTTATCTTGTTGGCGCTTGGCGAAGGCGTTGTCCTCCCGCTCAGTTTCTAGCTCGGCGCGCACAGCATCCAGTGCACGCTTGTGTTCCGTATCCAGAACCCGTATTCTCATATTCATCAGAGACTCGCCATCATCACTGTCATCTGTGTATGCAATGGGGAAGAAGCAGTAGTTAGTACAACATCGGATACAAGACAAACCTCATTAGTAGACAACATCCAAAACCCCTGATGCCTGAAATGCTTTTAACAGTCATACATGCAAATCCGGATAGTGGATAATACTCGTTATAAGATAACATTCTTGAAACCCTTGAGGTTGTCTCTTAACGAGAGTAGACCTGTATTGGCATGCTCAGCAAAAGAAGCAGGCTTATGCTGGCAAACATTACAAGCTCCCGGAGTTCACTGATTGGCTGTCCAGGTGGCTACAGTCACGTGACATGCGACAACACCATGATCTGAAAGCAGTCCCTGGATTACGCAACTCACCGCCATCGTTGTCCGGAAAGGCATGTCTATTGAGCATGGCCTCTGCTGCCTGCAGTCCCAGCTGTTCATTCTGCTTGACCACTATACTGTGCTCGGCCTGGGCACACAGACACACGTAGACACACACACATATACGTGCACGCACGCACACACACACGTAGACACACACACACACACATAGACACACACACATCAGATATTCTATCACACAGCAGATGCACAGAGACTAACACTGAGAAGTGCTACAGTCAGTGCAGGCACAGTCATGGATCAGTGCAATACTAATGGTGTCGATCCTTGCCGAGGCATCAGGTGAAACACGGATAATCACATCATCTCCGACAGCTGGCGCTGACACACATGTGAAACAAGCTTGCAGTCTACCTCCCTGTCCAAAGGGATGGTGATATTTACCTGTAATTCAGCCACCTCCTGCTCTAGTCTCAATCGTTGCATCTGTTCCTGTTCCAGGATCTCGTTACTCTGCTCCTGTGCCGCTTGCTCGTCAGCAAGGCAATCGGTCAGTGAGCGAACACGATCCTGCAGCCTGGTGATCTCCAGTTTGGCCTCCGCATAGTCGGCCGTCTCCTTCTGTAGCTTGTCGACGCGGTTCTGCAGAGTTGTGATTGCATCCTGCATAGCATGTCAACAGTGAGCACAGTATAGTAAGAGAAGCGGATGTCTTGTCATGAAGCATACATGAAGAGTAGAGTCACACACTGCTAGTGCTAGCAGTAGCAACCAGTCAAAGACAACAGATACATGAAGTGAATATGTCCCTGGATGCAATGTACAATTTCAAAGTCGAACACAACAAGATAGAATCAGATTAGATGTTAGTGGAGCTGTGATAAGGCGTACTTCGATGGGGAGCAAGCAAGTGTATGTAGTATTCAAGGTATTTACTATCCAACACAATTCAATATGAAGGAATACACCCGTGATCCAAACTAGTACTAAGCGAGTGTACGTCTTCTCAGATTACGTACTCGGTGAGTTCCACTGCAGCTAATAGTACGGACCAGTTACATGGGAAATAGAAGTGGACTAGCTCAATGCCAGCACACGCAAGCACAAATATACTTGTTTGCTGCCAAGAAACACAACATTGCCGCACTCACATCCTTGGCTTTGAGCTCCTCGTCTTGCCGGTGAACATCGAGCAATGGAACAACCTACAAGCAGCAACAGCAGCAACAGAAGCAGCAGAACACACACGCAGAAGGAACACATCGTGAGTGAGAGAGACCATGTCAAACTGCCATCACTGTTCGCTAAAGGAAACGAGTTACTTGTAGACAATACTGTAAAGCGGCTAATTTCAGCGCCGGTGATATTAAGCGATTTTAGCAAAAGGAGTGTTTTCGCTAAAGTTTTGACGCGTAAATCGAAATCTTGCAATTACAGTACAGTACAGCCTACAGGAAGGAATTTGAAGTTTGTTTTGGAGAGGTTTTCATTTTGTGTAGCCAAGGACTCCGTGCGGACGTGGGCGGAAGAAATTAAAAATCATGACAAGGCTATAGAGGAGTTACGTCATCCTTTAACCTTACTATACGCGCATACACAAACACACACACACACACATTGCCAACATACTTGTACATACCTTTGTGAAGAGCTTCCACCAGGGCCACTCGCGCACCTTGAGCAGCTTGCGCACGTTTTTCTGCACGCAGCGCACGGCTACATTGTGCACCTTCAGGAGCTGGAAATGCTTACGCACTAGAGCACCGCGTACGTGTGCCTGGAACTGAATAAACGTGTTCTCCAGCTGCTTCTCACGTGTAGCACGGAGATGATCCAGATTGCCGGATTTGAGGAAGATCTGCAGCAGATAGAAAGGAAAGGGTAAAGGGCGATTCACAATACAACTTTCTGCGACGCGACACGCGATTTGCGACAGTCGCGACAAGAAAATGCCTGTCGCGAGCTGTCGCAAGGCACCTGTCGCAGAAGTTGAAGAAAGTTCAACTTTTGCGACATGCGACACGCGACATACACAAATGGAGTACAGTTTCGACCCTGGGTGCACGTGCAGTGCACGTGCATAGTACTACTTGTGCATGAGGATATCCGGATGTCGCAACAAACATGAAGAATATTGTGAACCATGTGTCGCTGTCGCGGCTCGTCGCATGTGTCGCAAGTCGCGTCGCAAGAAGTTGTATTGTGAATCGGCCTTAAATCTATATTATGATGATGATGATGGGCCAGGCCCGCAAATTTGGTGTCATATGATTGATTTGAATGGCAGTAAAGATACCGGTACTGGGGTTGAGGAGTGAGGCTTCATAGATATGATTCCAGTCCACAAATCTACTCCAATGTAAAATAAATAATGAAACGAATAGCAGCAAAGAGGAAGATAAGGTGACTTGGCACACATGCAAGTGTACTCGTGGTCGCCAAAGCAAGCATGCAATGATAAACAACAGGACGGCCACCTACCTTGCTACATCCCAGGCGGAATGACGACTTGTCGACAGCCAGAGCCTCGAGAAGATTCTGAGCAGCCTAATAACACAAAATGCAATGAAAAGAGACAGAAAATATCATGATCACAACACAACCAACACAATCTCCGACAAACCTCCCTTGGGAATAATAAAAAGAGTTAAAAACCCAGTCAGTTGGAGAGAGAGAGAGAGAGAGAGAGAGAGAGAGAGAGAGAGAGACGATGACAAGTAGACAAGGTACTACTAGTAGTAGGCTGGATGCAAGGTTGCTAGAGCTATGATACTATAACCCCCTGTCTCTGGAGTGATGCACTGGTGGTGGTGTGTGTATGGCTGATGTTGAGAGTACATAACCCCCAAGTGTGTGGCGGCCACATCCCCATTATTTAATCCTGTACAAACTAGTTGAAGGAAACACGTGTGATACGTTGATACACAATACAAACGTTGTATCTCAATAGCGCGAGGAGCATAAAAAGGTCACCTATTTGAAATTCTGTTGAGATAGCACTACATGCTGGATTAGCACACTCTTGGGGTATCATGGGTTCTTCGTGGCGGTAGTGGTGCTGTGTGTGTGTGTGTGTGCGTGTGTGTGTGTGCGGTGTGTGTGTGTGTGTGTGTGTGTGTGTGTCACAGGTCACTTTGCAAAGTCATGTTTACTCTACCCTGAGCTTACAATCTTATCGTCAACCGTTTCATCAGTCGGTGGGCGAGGGTTGAGGATTTGGAAGGAGCGGACAAAGTCCTGGAATGATATTCTCTCCGGAAAACCTGAAACACACACACACACACACACACGCACACACACGCACGCACACGCACGCACACAAACACACACACACAGTGATACAGATCTCTGAGCAACAGTTCTCTTGGTAAATAAGGAATAGAGACGCACAGGAACACTAATCTGACTGTGGACGGAGCAATAATAACCAACTTTCAAGTGTACAACAAGTGTAAGACATTGAAACTGTCTGAGTCACATAAAAGCCGCTGGAAGGAAAAATGCGAAGTGAGGTCAGAGCTATCTATGCATACAATTGGTAGCTGCACAAAAAGGGTTCCTAAAAATAACCCTGGTAAGGCCTTTCCAAGACCGGTCCAATGAGCTATAGTTCATCACAATCGGATAATCTTTTCAGAAATATGGCGCGCGCGTGCGCGCACACACACACACACACACATTCATACACACACATTCATAAACACACACACACATTCATACACACACACACACACATTCATACACACACACACACACATTCATACACACACACACACACACACACATTCATACACACACACACACACACACGTTCATACACACATACTTTGACACAGAGTGTGCTACTACTTCATACAAACCTACCTTGCCTGTAGACGCGCATAGCACTGATGAGCTCAGCCTTGCGCACCTGAAGTCGCACATAGGGCACATTGAAACCCTGCTCCTCCTCGTCAATATCGGCCGATGCCATGGGTAGCGACTCAGAACGCAATAACGACTGACTAGACGTCAGGCTACTGCGAGCGTCCGTGTGGAGCACGTCCAGCAGAGGGATCATGCGCGATGTGCTGCCGGACTGCGGCCGAATGCAGAAGATATAGAATGGCTTGGCGTTGACGAGAGCGTCCGACAACGATTCCTGGCAAGAAAGAGCAAGAGACGGAGCAGACAGTGTAATGTGGTTAATGCTATGAAGTACACCAAGTGGTGAGATAACGGAGTAGAATAACATGAGAGGTCGAGTCCCCATCTGATGTGAAGTGCGATGTGCTGTGGACAAGACAAAAACATAATTCCCTGCTCCCAGAAGTTGGGTATCCTCAGGATTCAACCTGTACAACCTGGAACGTGCCGGATAAACCGGGCCCGGAGTTTATCATGACAGCATTAACAATCAGATAAGCAGCTGGGTATACACCACAACCAGCACCACTGCCACCAGCATCACCACTGCTAGCACCACAACCACCCGCACCACACCGCCTTGCACGATTACACATAACCCCTCTCCCTTGCTTGCCAGAGCAAAGTAAACTCACCGCCTGCTGTCGCAGCAATGCCGGTACGGAGCGCCTGCTGCCGACACGTCGGCCGGATGGAGCGCGAAGTGACGGGCCACGTTTGATTGGTGTGCCCAGTGACTTAGAGCTGGATCTAGTGTTCATCAGAGACAACACGGGACCATCTCTGCAGACAAAATCCAGAAAAAAACATGTACAAGTGTACTGAAGAGGAGACTGTATACAACAGCATCATGCATACGGTAAAACATGTAAATTTAAGTGTCAGGGACCTGATGGATTTCAGGTGTGACTTAGAATTAGGTAACCGGTATTCCCATCACATACAGCATAATCATTGTGCCATTTAGGTGTAATCTAAATGTAGGTCACAATTAGGACTAGGTGCATGGTATTTCTACCGAAGTCACCGAAATTAAAGTTACACCGAAAATACCCTGTTTTACAGTATGCTTAGGGGCCGTCCAGGGTTACCGATTGTTTTTACAAAACGAAAAGTTTTAGTATTTTTCAGCCCCCACCCACCCACCCACCTTTTCTGCAGGTAAAGCGAATTCCAATAAAATATTGATGTCAATTTTCGACACCCAGAAGTAACTGGGCATTCTCCATCAGCATTCAATAATTATTTTCAAAACGAAACTCCATCAAACCCACCCACCCACCCCCAAACGAAAACATTTCGTTTTGATAATATTATTGGTAACCTTGGACGGCCCCTTTAATAGTGATCACAGCCACCATGGCAAGAACGACAAACCACAAGACAGGTCATCTCAAACAGTACACCATGCCGCCACAGCACAGAGAACACTGCTCTGGCTGCTCCTGGCGCAAGAACATATGTTTCCAATTGCAACAGCCTAAGAACAGTACAAACTGAAAGGTGATGTTTTAATGATGTTTCAAGGGTCCCTGTTCCGGTCTTGCATAAGTTGTTGCAAAAGAAGGATCCGCGAGCGGGATTCAAAGCCCTGTCTTTCCGGGACAGTGTCCTACCGATTAGGCTACCGGGGATCACACACACACACCCGTGGCTCCTTCTTGCTACAGAGTGAATGTTCTCTAGAACCCCTCTCTCTCTCTCTCTCTCTCTCTCTCTCTCTCTCTCTCACCTACCCACCAACCCAGCCCACAGACACATAGCATTCGCTCACAGTCATCACGGCGCCCCAGGGCATACTCACGAAATATCGTTGAGGCACCACTCGGCTGCCTTCGTGCCGAGGTTGTCATGGATACTGCTGGCCCAGTTGGTCGTACTGTACTCGATGGGCATGTGACTCTGTCCATGGCGAATAAAGAAACTAGTCGGGGAGCTGATGTGGCAGATTGCGTCACCTGATGCAAAAACAAGTAAGTAAGTAAGCACGCACACCGACACACACACCGACACCGACACACACACCGACACACACACACACACACCGACACACACCGATACACACCGATACACACACACACACACACACACACACACACACACACACACACACACACACAGGTAATTGCACTTCCTTACTACCAGAAACTGGTCCTGTGTGTCTCCCCGAGAGAGGATAGAGTGATTCAAAAGAACCTCGGAAAGATGACTCAAACGGATGTTGAATTGCCAAGCTGTTGACTATCTCTCCCTGAAACCAAGGCTAGGGTCGGGCACACAGGAAAAAATGGAGCATGCCCCCCCCCCCCCCCCCACGCATGCACGCACGGACACGCACGGACACACACACACACACACACACTGTCCTGTCCTGTTGACCCACTGCCGTAAAGGTTACGTGGAAACACACCACACACACACACACACACACACACACACACACATCCGAAGGCCACCAACGTCAGGTCGAGTAACGAGGCACATAACAGAACACTGCTCTAGCTTCAGAGTGTTTCGCAAGGCTAGCAGCACTTCACCCTGATCATGCCCGCTAACACACTCAACCCTGCACCACTCACCTACTGCAATCACTCCAGCCACTTAAACACTGGGTAACTAATAGCGTCACAACACACATGGTTCACAACCTGTTGTACTGAAACTGGTAGGTAAAGAACAAAGACTAGACTTACTTGATCCAGACGCTGAACCATGGCTGTCCTTGACACGGTCCATGAAGGATGAATTGCCGCCTCGCTTTCCCTCAGCACTGAACTCTTCTTCGATGAGATACAGCACACCCCTAGCGGCAGGGTTCTATAATACATACACAGAAAATGACATCATCAGGGCAAGTCATGTGATCACACCTTGCAGTTATGACATCATCGCCAGCGTCCTGATCCAATACAGTGTAGCAGCATTGCTATTCATTGGTGTGTGAGTGCAAACTAGAAGCAAGGAGCGCATGTGATTAGCAGTAGCTAACAGTCAAAAGCGACCACTCTGCTGAAGCAGGCACACTTACACTGACTTGGTAGCGTTCAAACGTGTCGATGATGGGATCACAGGGTGGCATGGTGGAGATAAAATTACAATCCACGTTCTCCTGCAAGAGAGAGAGAGAGAGAGAGAGAGAGAGAGAGAGAGAGAGAGAGAGAGAGAGAGAGAGAGAGAGAGAGAGAGAGAGAGAGAGAGAGAGGGAGTAGAGTGATACAGATAGTGAGAAAAACAGGTAGAGAAATAGATATAGAGAAATAGAGACAAAAAGCAAGAGAGAGAATGAGGGAGGTACATGGAGGGGGAAAGAGAGAGAATGAGAGAGAGAGAGAGAGAGAAAGGGAGAGAGAGAGAGATGGGGGGGGGGGGGGAGAGGAAGAGGGAGGGAGGGAAGGAGGGAGAGAGAGAGAGAGAGAGAGAGAGAGAGAGAGAGAGAGAGAGAGAAAGAGAGAGAGAAAGAGAGAGAGAGAGAGAGAGAGAGAGAGAGAGAGAGAGAGAGAGAGAGAGAGAGAGAGAGAGAGAGAGGGAGAAAGAGGGAGAGAAAGGGAGTGAATGAGCAAGGTAGACATGAAAGAAGTACAGAGAAAGCAAGAAAGGGGAGGAGAAGGAGAGTGAGAGCTTGTACAAGAATACGAGTAAATCATCACACCAGCTGGCAAGCTGAGATATGCTGCACAGCATTTTCCAAGTGCCACCATCCAACGTCATTAAAATCACACTGATGTAGCCATTACGTCATCGGTCAGAGGAATGATGTAATCATGACCCAGCTGCATGCAACTGACCTGGTTATACGTATGAAGTTCGTTTTCAAACTCAGTCTGATGGAAGACAGCCTGCAGCTTCTCATGCAGGTAGTTGTGGCACAGATCCTCAAAGCGCTGCGCAACTGAGCGCACGTCTACACCGGCAAAGCGCATGCCAGCCATGTCCAGGACGTGAATGGAGTAAGACGGAGGCTGCTGCAGGTTAGGCTCAATACTCCTGCACACACAGACACACACACATGGACACATACACATGGACACACACATCCATACACCGACATGCACCCCCCACCCCCCCCCCCCCCCCCCACACACACACACAGGAAAACACACTTATCCACAATATACCCGACGAAAACAATGGTGGCCGATCGCTTGGCCTTGCACGTTGAGCGCATGGTGTAATCCTGCTACAAGCTGCAACGTCTAGCACAGTTCACCTAGATTATTTTTTTGCTGCAATGGGTCTCACGTGAACAATGATCATACGAAGTTTGTGTGAGACTCGAAAACACTGCGAGAATGTGTATCTGGCTCCATGGATATTTTTAACACCGTCACCAGTGAGAACTCAACAGACAGAAGTTGACTTGACTCGAGCAGGGCTATTATTCGATAGCAATGTTCTCGTTTTCGTCCGCGCATTATAACATATCACTACCGTAAAGTACCGTTGCCCCCCCCCCCCCCCCCCCTCCACGCCGTGTCGTTTCCCAGCTGGCTTTTCGGCAGGGGACGGGAATTAGATCAAGTCGTTCAAGTGCAGTATGATGTACAACAAAGCAGAGGATCAGACCTGGCATGCTGGATTGCGCACATTTTTCATCCTGCACTCTCACATATTGTGTACAGCAGTACATGCGTAGGTTCAACGTCGTATATGCCGACGTCGCTTCGCAGGCAGAAATTCGACACGGAGCGGAAAGTAGAGTGGGGGTGGATCGACGGTACTTGACGGTACTACAGTTGTGGCAAGTGAAATCCGACACTTGGCATAGGGGACGGCACCCCGTTTCAACTTTGGTGATGTAAGACGTACATTTTACGACAAAGCCGTACAAACAGTCCCCTGAAAAGTTCGAAAGGTCAGTACCTTGATACGCACTATATGCGTGGTTTTTGTGAGAACACGCTCGTACTCCTGGAGTCCTGCACTTTCTCACCAGCACAGGGTCAAGGCAAGGAGGGCCTAGGGATTACCAACTTGTTCTTCGAAATTGTTATCACTGCATTGCGGAAAACAAACTCCTTCACAGCAGCGTCGCAAGATTACAAAGATGAAAACAAAAAAACCTTCGAAGCAGACGATCTTTTCCAGCACAGTCAGAATCTTCTTCGCTGCACGTTGTTCCTTTCTACCCTTTTCTTACGTTCGTCATTCGGATCATGGCAGGCAATCAGCCAGTACCGAACCATGTTTTCTTTCGTGGCAACGAGAAGAAAAGACGGGAGAACATCGCTGCCCTGCCCGATTATGGCGATCACCGGCTATTACTTAAGTATAAGCGTACGCAGGTAAGATTTTTCTGCATATTCGAATCTGAAAAGAGTCATAAATGTACGACAATATTTGAACTTTGTGGTGTTTCTGATTCTTTCGTTATCAGGTAAGGGCCGGGTTCCACTGCTCCGCGGCACTTGGCTGCATGCAGCGGAGCAGCGCGGTTCCACTGACACTCACCAATCGCGGTACCGCGGTCGTGCTCCACACTTTTTGATGACGTTTCACCTGCCTGCGCGCGCGCGCCTGCGCGCGCGTGCGCGCGCGCGCGAAATCAAAAAGATCCTTGTGTTCTGGCTTGCGCAACGAATTAAAATTTGAATTTTAAAATTCTGGCGTACAAAACAATGCAAAGTACGGGAAACAGGTCGAGCCGCGACCGCGGCTCGCAGTTTTTGGTCAAGAATCGTAGCAAAAGCTCGCGGTGAGCTGCGGACTCGCTGCTCCAGCTTATGGTAATGATGACGTTTCAAGCCGCGAAAGACGAGCAGCGGAGCCGCAGTGGAACCCGGCCCTAAGGGACACGATCGAATGAGTTCGGCAGGGACAGAGTATGGACCGGCGACCTGGCTCAGGCAGCTTTCCGCTGCTGTCACCTGTTGGCATGGACATCGTGCAGGAGTTCATCGCAAACCACAGGTATTGTCATTGTTATTGTCATTGTTATTCAGGCAAATCACGACGAGTTATTACACGATTGGAAAACAGCGTTTGCGTTTGCCTCTGGGATTCACAAAACATCAATGAATAACGAAGTGTGCATGGCACATTGACAATTATGGCGCAATTATGGTTCATTTACTGTACAGCATGGTCAACGGCTATTGTTTCAAACCAAAATGTGTGAACAGCGCTACTGTAGTGGCTATGTCAGAAAGACGATCCTATTCCAATTCTCTATCCTGTTCCCGTTGTTCACCTGCAGCCTAGTGCAGGTATGCAGGTATGGCAGCAGCGAAAAGATTGCCAACGCCCTGGATCTACACAGACCCAGTGGTGAGCTAGCCAGCACCAGAACTGTTCGCCTTTCTCTGAACCGCATTGGGTACAAGTACGGCAGGCCCTACAGGAAATCAGCCTTGACCGAAGCCGCGAAGGAAGTACGCCTGATGTGGTCGATGTTGCACCGCGACGACGATTTTGCGCGGATCGTCTTTGCGGATGAGGCCTGCTTCGCTGTCGGGCCAGACGGGCAAGTTTGCATGTGGTTCCCCCGCGGTGGCAAGCCAACGGTGGAGCAGAGTCAGTTCCCTGCCAAAGTTCATGCCTTGGGAGCCATCAGCATCTTTGGCACGGTGGGGAATTTGGCTTTTGCACTGACGTGGAACCGTGAAACGTTTGCCGAAGCCGTTATGACGGACATTGCGCCAGCAGGCAACATGTTTTTTTGACGGCGACTGGCAACTCCAGCTGGACAACGCCACTTGTCACCGCTCCGTGGAGGGGCAGCACTTCCTCCTGGAAAACGGCGTCCCGTCTATAATGTTTCAACCTCCCTCCTCTCCCGACCTCAACCCCACCGAGAGCGTGTGGGCAGTTCTGAAAAGAAACATTGTCAAGCATGAGTGTCAAACTGCCGCGGAATTGCGCGCGGCACTGGATGCCGAACGGGGTGCCCTGGAACCCGCCGAAGTTGCTCCGTTCGCTGACTCGATGGCAAGGCGAGTGGAGGAGGTGATCGACAAAGATGGTGGACACACAAAGTATTGATTTTGATTTAAATAATCAGTCTCCTCTTGGAGAAACAAAACGTGTGCTGTGTTCTCGATTGTTTCTCGTGCATGTGTTTTTCAGGCGAGGTAGTGCATGCCTGTCTAGCCTATCTCCTTGCAAGCTTGCCTGAACAGTGAACTGAAGTGTAGTGCTACTGCTAGTGAACAGTACGCGGATATGATCGATCACGAACGTGACTCTGCTTTAGCTGCAGTACACAGTCAGTGGGGTGCACATGGTACACCATGCATGGGACACAGTGCAGTACGATGTGGACCGCATGCATGCACCGACCAGGTCCGTGCGTAGTTAGTACCAGGATGCTTGCTGAAACAATGTTAGTTGTAAGACCGTATGTACGCATGGCGACAGCGGCCGGAAGCTGTGTAGCGCTGTCCCTTATGCCAAGTGTCGGACTTCACTTGCCACAACTGTAGTTATTACTATCGTAGAATCCCGCGAATAAGCCCATGCTCCAGCATACTGTAAGACATGTATATATAACGAGGAAGCAAATCTAACGTTTTAACGGATGACATTTCTTCGTTATAATAAATCCGTTGAGGCCGTACTGCTTCATATATGCTGTGTGTGTATATGTCAGAATACTGCAAGATTGTTAACATAATCTTCTCGTTAACCTATGAATTTTGGACAATCGTTAAATTTGCGACTCGTTATAATAATAATTATGTCTTACAGTAAGCCCAGGGAATGTTGGAACATCACAAAGCTTCATCGTACAAGCCCATGGGCCTATATCGTACTCAAGAGTCCATAAATTATGGACTCTTGATCATACCATGTACGTATACACGTAGTACATGACTGAAGCCTTTTTTTTGTACATTTCAACACAATAATTGGTTGTTTTTGTTTGCACAGTGGCTTTCAGCAATGTACTTCTTACTTCCTTGGTACTTTTCAATGCACTATTTTGATGTCAGCGTATGAGCCCATGCCCGCGTATAAGCCCATGGGCTTATCCGCGGGATTCTATGGTATATCAGGGTTCTAGCCAAAGGGGGTAGGGGGGCGCAGCGCCCCCCTACTCCTTTTGCGCGTCCCCCTGTGAAAAAGTGCTGCCCCCCCTACTCATTTTTCGATTTTTGTGTTTTTTCACGCCATTCAACGAAAATACAGTCGATAGTCACTACTAGAGGGTTCATAAAGGCACATTTGTGAGGGGTGAAGTCGGGGTTCACCCTGTATGTTGCATTTTGCATGGCAAGACAATTTTGGACAATGGAAAAATGGGTCATGGGGTAACTTTTTCCCATGCCCGCCCCCCCCCCCTACTATATTGACCTGGCTAGAACCCTGTATATCATTATCACCAGAGCTGATTCATAACATTGCCCACAGATGACGATGTCTTACTTCTGCAAGAGCGACGAGACACAGCTGAACAGCTTCTCATAGAGTCCTGTGGCAAATTGTGCGACAACGTCCACATTGGCGGGTTCATTGTCCGCTTTCGAGGTCGTAGAAGACGGAGGGCCCAGCAAGGCAATCTTGGCAAGTGATGTGGACGTGTTGATCTTCTCCGATGACAAGGACGGCTTCATGCAGCCGGCGGACGATTCCCAGCTCATGAGGCCAGTACCGGTGGACGACTGCGTGATGTAACCGATGAGCTCATCGACATCACTGCCGAGTAGACGAGCGGCACAGACAGCGGGCACGCGATTCTCAAACGTGGCCTTGGCCGGTGTGCTGGGGGGAATGCCAGCTGTAGAACAGCAAGGACAACAGCACCGTCAACAACAACAACAACAACAACAACAATCATGAGAATATAGATTTGAAACAACAAAATCAGAACCAACAAGACAACATAACATGTGGCAATGACAACAACACCATCATCAGCAGTGTCAACAGCAATGACTACAATAACACCAGCAGTGTCAAAGGAAACGACGACAACAACAACAACACTCGACGACGACAACAACGACGACGACAACAACGACGACGACAACAACAACAACAGCAACAACAGCAACAACAGCACCACCTCCACCAACACCGACTACTGTGTCAACAGCAATGACAACGCCAAGCAACACTATTGCTGCAGTGCTTACTGCCACTGGTTGACGGTCGTCGACTGGCGCCTAATGGCTGCTCCAGACCGGCCATGCCAAGGTGTATGATGGCTGCAAGGATCATCCACATGCCCTTCTGTTCATCTTTACCAATACCCAGGGTTGTCAGCACATGGCAGGTATTGAACCACTGCTGACGCCACTCCTCTTGCTGCTTTTCAGTCTGTAAACGGGCACAAGCAAAAGACAGAGAACTATGATGCTTGCCTTACATCAATGTGAATATGTTTAAAAAAATCTCTGACTGTGTGCCTAATGATATGCATGGTTGATATAATTATCATGTGACATTATACGAGTGACTTCTGCCACAAAAAAGGAAATCTTCTGTCTGCAGTGGAGCTTGAAGGAACTTGTATGAAAGCTGCACATCCTCTCTAGCAGAGTACGCAGTTGCTTTGGCCTAAGAGCTACGCGCCAGCACCAGAGCCAGACCAGCAGGGTCGGTAAGCCGGGTCAAGTGGCAGCACAGATCTGGTCGAGAGAAAGCAGCCAGAGGTGGTGGCAGGTAGAGCTGTACCCGCCTGCACTGCAGTCCCAAAGCTCACACTGCAGTCCCAAAGCTCACACTGCACTCTTACAGCACACAGTGCTTTTTTTGTGTGCGTTGCCATGGTGCAATATGGCCACCACCACATGCCCAAAACCCTCAGGCTCAGTTGGGTCAAGCGTTCCTCGAATCTGGTTAGTGTTTTTGCTTTGCGCTTTTCCTTGTGTTGTGGGTGTCCTTGCGGCTTTCGTTTTCCTGAAGCAATGGACGATTCTCGTAGGCGTTTTGTGTCAGTCTCCCCTCCGCCTAAGCATCATAGGTCTAAGAGGCGCCGTCGAGAAGTTTCCTTTGTTTACACCATGCGTGGGCCGAGTTCGCGGACCTTACTAGCCTTCTTATGGTAGGATGCGGCAAGGAGCCGTCTCGGGGCTCAGTCCCCCCCCCCCCCCCCCTCCCTGCCGCAGGAGCTCAGTCTCCCCATCACGTAGGAGTTCAGTCTCCCCTAGACGTCATAGGTCGGCCTCACCATCTCGTCACGTCCTGTTGTCGGAAGGCGGCGATACCGCCATGAATGACATGTCGGAACGGGAACCTGAAGTTGTTCTCGGCCTGGACATTGACAGTCAGGACTTCGCATCCGACAAGCCATCCGACAAGCCATGAGAGAAGCATCAAGTCGAGAATGATTTGACTCTGAGGCCAGTAGGCGACGAGAGTGTGGGGCCAGAGGTCGACCAGTCTCTCGCATCTTTTGTCGAGACTTGTTGCTCCAAGTGCCTGGACAAGGACTATCTGAAGGAGCTCCGGAGCCAATCTAAGCGTCCTTCGAACTGTCCCTCCGCAGTAACGCCGACTGTCAACCCGTGCATCTGGAAAGAGTTGGACAGGTTTCAACGGTCGCAGGATGTGTCAATGCAGAAACACGCAGGACCTGACCATGTCCGCGTTGCATACGGTTGTCTCGGTAAGGGAGAATCTCCGTAGCCCCCCCCCCCCCCCGAATGCGGATGCCTGTGCTGTTCTCGGTAAGCAGTGCTCCAACATCATTGCACTGCTGGGGAGCGCATCTTTGCAGACGTCGTTCCGTCGACGGGAATTGCTCCGCTCCTCCATCAATCAGCAATATCAGGCTTTGTGTGCGCCAACGAACCCAGTCACCTCCACACACAAGAGCGGGTCTGCGTCGTTCCATAGCTCCCGGTCGAGCTCGCAGCACCGCACTCATCCCTCTCCCTGCCCAGGCCAGTCTTTAAACTGGAAGCGCCCCATTGGGTGATCGGGAGAGGGAAGCCGCACCACCGCTCGACGTACAGCAATGCCGACTCGGGCAAGAAGTATCTTTGGCCCACGAGGTGAGTGGCTTGGATGGACGTACGGCCATACGTTATGATGATTGGCTCTCTTTATTATACCAGTAATAAGTTTGTTCTTAACCTAGTAAAGGGTATTCGTTTGGACTTCGCTCAGCAACCTCAGCAGGGGCAGTTTCCTCGACCAATCGTTATGCAGACTGCAGTCCTAAAGCACACAGGTACTGTAGTAGTCTGAATGCGCCCTGAGTGAGTACTTACGAAAAGCGCCAAGTATGGCAAGAAATCGCACGGAAGCTTGGTCTCTTCGTATGCAAGGAATCCAAGGTCTTTCCTGTTACCGACAACACAGGGAACAAGGGCAAGAAAGAAAACAGAGAAGATATTGGAAAACACAGACATGACCGAGGGAGCATGGAGAACGGGAGGTCCACAGATACTAAATCTAAGATTCCTGCACACTGGCCGCAACAGCCAGGGCCATGGCGGCCATTTTCAAGGGAACAACATGTCCACGCCTGAGGGTCCCTTGAGCGGTCAGTTTAGACACGCTCTATGGTAGCGCACGTACGCATACCGACACTGACACACACATACACACATACACAGAGAGAGAGAGAGAGAGAGAGAGAGAGAGAGAGAGAGAGAGAGAGAGAGAGAGAGAGAGAGAGAGAGAGAGAGAGAGAGAGCATGAGAAAGAGTTCTTACCTGAGTTGCTTGTCTGCTCCAAACCACAGCTGATAGAAGATATGGAAGTTGAGTGTTGACTCTTTGGAACGCGTCACCAGTGATTTCTCAAAGAACACAGTCTGAACACAAGACAACATGGGAAAAGAGAGACCATGCCTTCAAATACACACCAACTTGGCAATAACTAGTGTCCTGCTGCAAGTACTGAGTAGTTCTTTTCCAACCGTGCCAGTCAGTACAATGATGGCGAACTAATGGACTGGATAAAAGGCAAGTATTACATGTAGAAGACATGGCTTCCGTCCATTTCTCAGAAATGGTGACAAACAGCAATGAAGACACGATGTTTGTTTTCACTACTTGAATAGTGTTCCACTCTTCCATAAAGTGCAAATTGTGTTTTGTTTGCCCGTAAAAAAGAGGCTGTTGTACCTCAACTAGCAACACATTTAGTGTTTCAAAAAAGTTAAGCTGTGTTCATAACTGGTGCGTGTACGTGATATGTTTGCACTTCATGCGTGCCCAGAAATGCGTGGAGGCTTTCACAGAAAACAGAAACTCCAGTAGTAGTTAGGTCGTGTGATGCCTTCGAGTACTAATCATTTTGACCCTGCCAGTCAAAGTGACTGGCGTGTACGCTAGTACGCACCTGATACGTGCTGAACAATACATAATGGAATTTCCATTTTCGGCGCATTCCATACATATGACGGCCCAAAAAGCCAGCAAAAGACGCACACAACGTGTGGTTTCACGAGTGCACGTGCCAGTTATGAACACAGCTTTACACTTGCTTATCACCATCAGTTCTTTTCAAAAAATTGTTACAAATAACTGGTGATAAAATGGCAAGCAACACTGATAACAGCTTGCTGTGGCCTGCACACACACACACACACACACACACACACACACACACACACACACACACACACACACACACACACACACTCCAGCGATTACCTGTAGTGCACCGCCCATCAGGCAGCAGTTGGCGTCGTAAGATAGACTGAAGCGTGTTGAGATTCGCGTGGCATTATCATGGATCAGGTTGACAGCACAGGAGAATGCCTGCAAGACGGAGTGTGTGTCCGTGATCTTTTGAGCTGCATGCAAACAACACACACACACACACACACTAAACGGTCACGGTTTGGCCGAGTTTTCCGCATCCACAGGAACGCCACCACCCCCTTGGATCAAATCAACACAAGAGTGCTTGGAGTTCAGACAGTTTGCACCTTGAGAACATAGGGCACTGCGGCAATGCACTGTAGCATACAAAGTCGAGCAAGAACATGAAAATCACTACAGCAGTCCAGTGACAACGTACACCGAAGGCAGAACAAGGTTCAGTTGCAACTCAAAGTTTCGCTCTTATTACGATCCTCAGCCAATGATACACCCCGGGGACTTCAACAGTGTCAGTCTACATTAGAATACAATTGTACACGTAGAATCAACAGACACAGTACACTACTAATTGCAACAAAGATGGAGCAACTATTGTGAAGTGCATTCCCGCAAGTGTGGCGGGATTGCCACTCTCGCTTATGCCACTCAGGACACCATGCAGAGAATGAAGAGAGAGGAGAGAGAGAGAGCGAGTGAGAGAGGGAGAGAGAGAGAGAGAGAGAGAGAGAGAGAGAGAGAGAGAGAGAGAGAGAGATGGAGATGGAGCAATGGATCAGTGAAATGATATAGTGTCGATCCTCGCCGAAGCATCAGGTGAAACACGGAAAACACATCATATCCATTGATTGAGCCGAGCTGCAAAGACCCCCCCCCCCCACACACACACACATGTTCCGAGATAACTCTCTGCTCGACGAATTGCAAGTGAACACCTCCAAATCCTTACGTGTAAGCGAGCATCCCTTCGCTTTCTGCACAGTCGATGAAAGATAGGTCAAGACCTGTGAGACAACAAAGCTCTTGCCAGAGCCGGCAATACCCAGCGGCAGGATGGTTTGGTCGCGGCGTCTCTGTGTCATGCGCTGGCGTGCCTGGTACGCCACCGAGATCGGGTGAGGCGGGGTGTTGCCGGCACGACAGCGGTTGACATAAGCCATGCCCTGTGTGAGCAAACACATATAGAACCCAGACAAGGTAGCAGCACGCTTAGAGACAGATACGTGTACAGTAAGGCAAGGTAATGGGAACAACAGTGAAACCTGTCTAAGACGTTCGCTCAAGGGACCTTCACAAGGTGGTCTCTGTTACCAGGTGGTCTCCTTAGCCAGGGTCATTTGACTGGAAATAGCATCCCTCGGTCCTGGTCATTGTGGTCTTCTAGGACAGGTGGTCGCCTTATCCGAGTGGTCGCCTTGACAGGTTTTACTGTAGTTTGGGAGCTCAAGCTACACTTCAGATGGGATTCTACCTAACACGACTGCATACACAACACATCACGTTTCAGTAGCGGCTATTCCAAATTTGGCATCAGAAGTTAGGAAAAATCTTACACCATCTAATCAAGTAGGGTGCTCCACTGTCCGAAGAGTGCTCAATGCCCATAATAGGGCAGAGCCTTCCAAACAAGAGAGATGGAAGCTGTGTCGCAACTCTGCGTTTCACATATTACTACGATCATCAAATGACCGGAATAGGAAAATATTGCGGTTTCTCTGGCTTCCACATACATTGTATTAAAGTGCACTTAAACCAAGAACACGGTCTAGAGTCAAAACTACTGGATTGCAATGTTTTTGATCTGAGCGTGCACTTTATATAATCCATGGTTATACATGTACCTAAACCAGTCATGGTGTGACTACCACAATGGATTTCCCATGAAGGAACACATCATTTAGATACACACACACACATAGATTGAACGTTTGAAGATTTATTGGTTCTTCGGTGAGCTGTTTGGCTCACATATATCCCGTTCACCCCCAGTATACAGTCACACTTCTATACTAACCATGGACAGATCCTGCGCCGACTCCGAATTCGGGGCAATGCTGATGAGATGGCGACCGGCATGCGTGTGGTAGAGGCGTGCATGGAAGCGCATGCGAAGGCAGTGCAGAACGGCGGACTCATTCAGCTGCCTCAGTACCACTAGGTTGTCACAGTAGTCATACGACGGTGGGTTGATCTAGTAAGCAAACACACACACACACACACACACACACACACACACACACACACACACACACACACACACACACACACACACACAGGGGTCTGTTCATAAGGTGTTAGAGTGGAGCATACCTCTATGTAGCCGCACAGTGAAACTTGACTTTAGGGCACCTGCATAGAACAGTAAAATCTCCACTTTTTGTTAAGGTGTGAAGCCCTACATGCAACTTCAAATCCCCTCAGCACTCCACTTGGCATGCCTATTGCCTTCTATTTCTGAACCACTCAATCATCTTAACTTTAGCTATCCGCACCCGTTTCAGTCTCACAAAATATCCGGATAGGCGAGGGAACAAGACAGCCGTGATGCGTGACACTGCACAGGGAATAATTTACTTTCAAACTTCTGCATAGCAATTTTGCTACACAAAATCAAACTTGAATTGCAATTCGAAAATGTTGCATAGCAATTTTCTTCGACACTTGACAACATTGTCATTCTGGAGAGTGCAAGCTCAGACCACAAGTACACTGTAACACCTTAGTTGCAAACCTAGCCTGGTGCCCGGATGCTTAGCTCAGCACTTTAAAAGCTTTGTGCATCTATTTCATCCCTAAGGCCGATTCCACACTACACCAAATCCTGCCTAAAAAGCCATTTTTCAGGCACTTTTCAGGCAAGTTGCCATGGCGATCACTTTGAGAAACGCGCGAAAGTGAAAAGTGCTTGTTGTCTACAAAGCAACACCAGCACCCTCTTTCAAGGCAACTTTTTACCTTTTCAGGACACTTTTTGACTTTTCTTCAGCCTTTCGATTTTTTTCCGAATGTGTTCCCTGTCGTATCTTTCAGTTGTGGTGAGTTGTGAGCTGTCAACAATGCCTAGGGTCATGTTTAGCCAGGAGCTTGAGGGCAAGCTGATCGAGCTTTGGAGCGGATATTTGAGGCGACCTCCGGCCGGTACAGTTCGCAGGAGCTACGCCGGAGGAGATCGCCATCAAGCTGAATTTGTTTGCTGAACAGCTCCGGGAGGAGGCAATATACTGCGTCGATCGTCCATTCCAAAATCGACAACATGAAAACGAAGGCGAAAGGACTGTACGAGATATACACAACGAAAACTGCCACCGGAATGCCTGTTGGCGAGGTTGACAAATATTCGACCTATGATCTGGAATCCGCCTACACAGCGCGCGCTAGCGTGGTCAAATTTCAAGATTGGGCACGCGAATATGGGTGATATTCGAGGATTTGGCCCAACAAAGAGCCTCTCCACTACCGCCGTTGCTAGATCAAGCACAGGAAAGCCTCAAAGTCTAACCTTCAAAGCAAAGTCCCGTGATCGACACTTGTAGGTGTGAATGCAGCTTCACTTTATAAGCCACTTTATGCCTTCAAGGCGAAGCCACTTTCGGCGTAGTGTGGAATCGACCTAAGACACACCGGGCATGTGCACTGTGCTTCATAGGGCACAGTGAAAAACCAACATGCATCGCAGTTTTCTGCTACACACACTAGTATCTGAAGTTGCTTCGCACCTCAGAAGAATTGCGTAGCAAACTGCGATGCGATGCTGGTTAAATTATTCCCTGCTGCACTCAAGAGTACACCACCCTCCCCCCCCCCCCCCCCCCCAGAATATGCAGAGCATGGGTATGTGGAAATGGCATGTCACAAGCCATGCTAAGCAGTAGTGTAGAGGCAGGGAGCGGTACCTTATCAACATCCGTGTCATCCACGATTAGCACTTCACCACTGCCCAGTTTGACTCTGCGTGTTGAGTCGGTTTTCGAAAAGTCACAGGCCGGCGAGCCGTCGTCTCCGTCCAGCACAGTCGCCGTGGTGATTCCATCGCGGTGAATAAGCCACACATGACGGGAATCCAGGTAGGAACGCTCTTGAAGAAGCTCCTGTTCGCTGCGAGCAAGGGCCGGAGACTGCACAGAACACAAGCACACGTGCAGACAAGAACAGCTGCAGTTCAGGTACAGGACTGCAGAACAATGGACAGTGGTTTCTATCGTATCGAACACCATGCAGTATGGTATCATCATTCAGGGCTGTAGCACAAAGTTGACCAACCGAACTCGTGCAAAACCGCGCTTTCATCAATAACATTCGTTTCTGGTCAAGCTTTCAGCCATCTCCTGCCTGGGCCGCGCTTGGGGCAAGCAGGGCCAAGGCCGCATAACGTATTGTCCTGTATAAAAGCAGGGATTATTCCTGTAGAAGTCGATGTCAGGGCTGGGCTTCTCAAATCAGGCTTGTATTCAAATCAGGTATTGCTATTATGTGAACACTAAAATCAGGCTTTATGTGTTAACAGAGCATCCTGAAAATTTGGCTTGTATTCAAAAGAGGCATTATACAAGACATTACAGTAGACCACAGACCATGTACTTTGAAGTAGAACTTTCAAATCCGGGGTCCAAACGCATATCAATTTGGGTACTGTGATCTTGTGTGGTCTCCCTGTACCCTACGACTCCCATAGAGGCAGATAACATCTTCATCATCATGCGTTGTATGGGGTGGCAACACATAGGGCCAAGAGTACATAACCCACAAGAGTGTGCACCGCCACTATGGGTGCTGTCCTGACAGCATTTCAAGCTCGCACTGTACACGTACCATCAGACGTACATGTACATGTATGCTGGACCTCTAATACCTATTTGATCCTGTACAAAGTACATGACATTCAAGGCCAGGAAACACGTGCAGCGCGTTGACACCCTGTACCAACATCGTAAATCGGTCGTGCGAGGAGCACTACATCAACTGGAAATTTTGTCGCAATAGCAGGGTGCGCGGGAGTTGCACACTCTTGGGGGTTATACTCTTGATAGCCTCCCTCCCCCCCCCCCCCCCCCAAAAAAAGATTCAGTGATTGAATTCGGTTGGGCCTACCTCATTTCTGACTGCCAGTGCGGAAGATGAAGGTGCCACTTGGCCAGCAGCTACTGCACGCACTGGCGTATCCCATCCCACCATCCACAGTAACGTTGCCACTGAGCGCACAGTAACCTGCACCTCACCGTCAGTCTGGAGAATCTCAGCCAGAGCTGAGTCGCTCAGGTCCTCAGCAGCTGAATCGTTTATTGAGACCAGGATATCACCAGGCAGAAGGCGAGTCTCCACGCGCAAACCGCGCTGAGCTCTTGTGGACAGAACGAAAGCGGAACCCTCTCTCCTGGCGATGATATCGGATGCGGGGACGCTCATCTGCCTCTCCATTCGAGGCACCTGATTGTCGCTGAGTCGTGCACTACTGCCAAGACGAACACTGTCCATTGATATCATCTTCTCGCATTGGGTCATGGAGATGAACAGCTCCCGTTCGTCTATACTCAGTTGCCGTGTTTGGACAAGCTTACCAGGTGGTGCACTGACTTCGATTTCCCCACCGTCTACATCCAGGGAGTCCGTCTTTTCAAGTTTCTTATCGGCTGAGACAGTCTTGGCAATGACCTTGCTCCTCAGCTTCTTCAGGGACTTCCTATCTTTCGAAGCTGCCGCATCTGAGCAGGAATCCGAGAAGGCATGGCTGCTTTTCTGGCGCGAAGCCCCTTCTTTTTCCTGGAAGGAGCCAGAACGAGCACGGTCACCCTCCAGGCCATCCTCCTTCTTCTTGGATTTCTTCTTCTTGAACAAGGCCTGCATCTTAGTTACTTCTGCTCTCGAGCAAATAACTGCTCAGCACGTACGCCAGCTTTACAAGAACATCGACCAGACGAGGGGAGTACTCGTCTTCGAGCTCACTAACAGCACCCAACAAAAGTTAGCTTGAGAACTAACAAGGCAACTTTACTACAACAAGGATTCGTAACTTTTCCTTGGTGTGAAAAGCCACAGTTGGTACAACTGAAAACAGTAGACCTAACCACTGACTACCGACCATCCTTGCATTTTGCAATGTTTCACTCAGGGAGTAGTACAATAATAATTACTCCCTGGTTTCACTCTATGCTGGCTGCACGGATCCGATTGCTCGTTTGAAAATACCGTCCGTAGAGCTCCTCCGGTACTCCGTAGTCCGTTCGCTTGTACAGATCTACGAGTTCGAGTACGAGTAGATCTACCCCCGCGGGCCCCGGGCCCGGCCCCCGTCGCGCTCCCCCCCCCCCTAGGCCCTGCTCCCCCCAGCGGCGGGACCGCGCGCAGGGTGTTACCGTTACCAGTGGTTACGCGAGCGTCGAGCGGCGCCTGGAAAACACGCACATGCACAAGACATACGATAAATGACGTCAGATCCTGGCTTTCCATGCAATGATGACGTAGTAGACATGAGGATATTGATGTGAGTTACATAACCAGATGACTCTCCAGCAAAAAAATCAAGCAGTCAATCTTCAGTTCTTCTCACATCTTCAGACTTCACCTCAACAGATCAAACTAGTTGTTTGCTTTGTTTCATGGCACTGGCAGTTGAGTTGACCTTTTGATAGTCATTGGGTTTAGAGTTAGACTACAGAACAAGTTCCCCAAAGCTTTAGTCGTCTGCATCTTTGTGCTGAATTCAGTTGGACAGAGTTGAAAAAAGTAATAGCCCGAGTTCGGGTGAGGACGCTTGGTCAAGATGAACCTCTCCAATGATTCTAACGGGCCGCCGTTCTTCGTGAATTTCAATCAAGACACGACGTAAGAATACGTTGGGTGTTTGGAACGGCTTCCAGTTGTTCTGGGTCATCCCAGGTGAATGCGTTGCTTGGTCGTGTGTGTCTCAGGTCGTTTGCTGTTGGCACTGGCGAGGGCTATAAACTCTATTCGCTCCAAAATATCGATTCCCTGGACCAAGTTTATGTTTATGGTAGGTTTAACAGTCATGTCAAAGCTAGTTGAATTAAATTAGCGGACTGATTCATCGTTGAGTCTGTTGAAATAATTGCTCAATCTCAATTCTTTTAGTCTGTGGGTGTCTTCCACTGGCCTGGGCTTTGCGAAAGAGCCAAACCGGTGAAGCGAAACATCCTCGTTTTCAGTACAATAGTTATAGAGTCAAATGTCGCGTATCCGACCACTCAAGAGTGGGTGTCGTTCAATAGCTGACTATGTCGAGTAGGTGATAGCTGTACTATTAGGATATGATTTTGCCTTTGATTTTACTAGTAGTTAGTACATTTTAGTAAAATCTGCACACAAAATTTAATAATAGAAAAAAATGTTCATAGTCACATTCAAGTTGATGGGATTGCCCATTGCCATGTAAAATATGACCATGGGTGAACGTAACTTAGTTGTCTGATCAATACCCACCACAACCACCTTCTCTTTATTGTGTTTGATATAATAATAATAATAATATTGACAAAGTTTCAATGCAGCCAGCCATACGTTTATTGCTATCTGGCTTGTCGACTGTCAGAGGTACTCGAGGCGCTGAGCACTGCCACTGGATTAGTGATGTTCGACTGTACCGTAAAAGACCATTGATTCACCCCCTGTCGAATGTCTACCCGTCAAGCATACATGGTGACTCGACTGTGTATAGACTGTAGTACATGAAAACTTGTATTTTAGTCTTTTTGTTGCTCCTGAATTGTGTGTCTCAGATGGCCCTGTCTTTCAGGACAGTGGTCAAACAAACACAGCACCTCTGTATTTTGGGACACTACTCTATCGATTAGGGTTCTGTAAACCTCCAAATGTTACAAAGTGACAATGAAGTAAAGTTCGTACGTACTATATAAACGCTTCGTTTTGGAAAAAAATAATATAAACAATCGGTAACCCTGGATGCCCCCCCCCCCCCCCACACACACACAGGAATGCAATCATCCGCGTGCCCACTAATACCGATTTGGACTGGTTGACCAGAAAGCCGAGACGTTCCATCAGGTCGGCCATCAGTTAAGCTACCTGATCCACCTTTTCCCGGTCGCCTATCACCAGTCAGTCGTCCAGGTAAACTATTAGCCGTATGCCAAGTTGCCGTAGATAGGCCAACACCGGAACAAGTATTTTGGTAAAAGCCTGTGGAGCGTCAGCTAAACCAAAAGGGAGACAGGTGTATCGCCATGCTTCCTGGTACACTGGGTGCCAAAAGCATAGAGCGACTCGATCGGCTGGGTGCACCGCCACCGAATTGTACGCATCCTTCATGTCTATTTTGCAGAGATGGGCACCAGGGAAAATCAGGTCGCAGCCGCTGCATGGACAAATGGCTCAACAAACACAACTCTCGAGCTCGGGCTGCCTTTGCCGAAGCAAACAGGAGACCAGCTTTTCTTTTTTTCAAGCACACATGTCGGCGACCATGGTCCATAGGGTATCCTTGCCAAGTGGTTAAATTGAATACCATTCGTCCTCTGTTGGCTTGCTTAGAGGTGTGAGATACAATTCACTGCTGGCTGGGCGCTTGGCGGTGTGCGTCTTGGATAGCGAGCCAATGCATCGCTCTGGGGCCTCTGGGCATTGCGGGTTGTTGAACGCCTTGACTGTCCTGGGGGTCTGTTTGCGGGTCTTGAAACCACCCTAATAGTTCTTGGAGACTTCCTTCGCCCTGGCTTCAGACAGCCAGATATATGCCATGGCAAAGTCAAGTGTGCCACACGAATACGGCTCAGTCTCCAAGACGAGGCAGCAGGCCAGTGCTATGTGGCCTAAGGATGATGACGTGCTGTGGAAGTCGTAAGTTCTTGGTGGAAAGAACCCGGAGCAGCTCGTCGACCCGGTTTTCTTCCTAATTGGCAAGAACTTCACGCTGCGCAGTGGGGAAGAGCACTGTGCCTTGCGCTTTGGCCAGACATGCCACATCAAGCTTGTTGAGAAGAACAGGAACGGCCGTACCTTCTCTACATAGATCGTTCGTGATAGTCTCATCTGGAACCCTACAAAGGACAAGACTTGTTTGTTACATTATTTATATTGACAAGACGGAAAAGCAAACTGCTCTGACAGAGACGAACAAGAAGACTGACAAAAGGACTCTCGGCTACAAAATAGCGCATGCTCATATCACATATGCACGCAACTAGACGAGACAGTTTGGGGGAATGCCATCACACAGGAAAACAACACAATCATCATTTTACAACACCTGCCCCCTTGATAGGCCAAAGCCCATGCGCTCCATCGCATACAACTTGCCTTGCCACAGTACAACTTGGTACTGTTGCAGCTTTGGCGCGACGCGGACTTGCAGGTACGCCTTGCGTACGTCGAGCAGCACATATTCGTCAGCAGGGCCAGACTGTCGCCATTTGCGGATCGTGTCGCTGCATGCCGGTGCGTCGTTGCCAGGTTGCGACACGATGGCATCGTTCAGGAGCCGATAATCTAGGCATGGCCGGACAGGTGTTGATGCCTTGTGCTCCTGCACTTGCGTAATCAACGGCAGGATACACTTTGGCTTAGCCACAGCGGTTTCCTGTGTGTAGAGCAGTTTTTCCCCAAGTCTTGAACAAGCGAGCTGCAAAGCTCGTCAAATTCATCTCTGCAGGGATGGCAAGTGAAATTCAACCCTCAGCGTTCCAGAGCGAATTACTTAGAGCAGCACATTTCCTGAACTAGCTACTGGGACTCCACCTACAACTAACACTAATTACTGTAGACCCTATAGTTACAGGACTATCCGGGGCACTACAATTCAGGAGCAACAAAAGACTGAAGGGAGATGGGGGTCGCTCACAGTGAAAGAAAAACCAAACCAGCAAGGAATGCCATGTGTTTGAATCCCGCTCGTAGACCCTTCTTTTGCTACATGCGTCTGCAGTAGTAATTAGGAGATGTGCGTGGCACTGGTCTAAATCGACCATGGTGGTCTTCCTTGTACTGCTGCTGCTGCTGCTGCTGTTGGTTTGGTTTTCAATGTCCTTTCTTGTTCCTGTAGATGGAGATGAGATCGGTATCGTGGAGCGTTTGTTTTCAAGCTCTCTCGTTGTCCTGGTCAGTCAGGCGGAGAATTTCAGACTAACGATATGCCACTTTCGGGTAAGTTCTGTGCACTGTTCGTGTAAAATCCCCAAATGTATAAAATTTATACATTTGGGACTTAACGCACTATAAAATGCGATTCAGTTCATTTTCTATGATCGACCAGATTAGCTGTACGTATTGGTCAAAGAAATGAACCGAATCATACAGTGAATTACACCCAGATATACCGCCTGTTCTGCATCACCTTTGTTAACGCAGTAGTTCAGAGGTTGCACTGCACGTAGAATCTATGAGAAAAGCCCATGGAAGTTCCTGGATAAAGAATACTGTTGAGAGACTGGGGTATGGAAGTTTCATATGAAATTTGGTACTTTTATGTCGAGGGAAGTTTCGCCATTATCTGATGTATGCTTGTGCTGCTGCTGGCGGTGGTGGTGGTGGTGGTGGTGGTGGTGGTGGTGGTAGGGGTGGTGCAGCTTCGATCAGTAGTCTATCGCTTTCTTATGTTAGTAGCAGCATTGCCATCTGCAGCTAGCAGGGTATTACATACACGCGGTGTTTGTGTCATATGATTCTGATGATAATTACCGTGGCTGTCCATCTCCTCCGCGCAGAAAGGGACAGAAATCTGCAACTACAAGTACCCCAGTCAAATTCGCTCCGTCCGGCTGAATCGCGAACGCCTGGCCGTTCTCACTGACGATTGCATTTTTCTTCACGACATACTGAACATGAAGGTATGGATACCCGTAGTGTCGCGTGTTAAAGACAGGCTTACTCCTGTAGAAGCCGATGTCAGTGCTAGGCCCCTAGTGGGGCCACATAGCCAGTCATGGCAGTGGAAGAAGGAAGGAAGAAATGATATGTGCTGTATCTGTGATTGTAGCTGGGTCTGCTTTTCTCTTGTCTTGTGATCTTCCTTGTGCTGTATCCTTATCCTGTTTGCGGTGGTTGTTTGTGTTGATATTTGAGTGCATTCTCACGGTTAGGATAAATCCATGAGTGCCTTTTCATTGTCACACCTAATGCCATCGATCATTGCTAACACTGCCAAATAGTAGAACCTGTTCATAGTACATGTACTGTGGTTAGTGGTTAGTGCGCAGTGGTTAGAGCATCACTAGCTACAAGCGAGGGTCCCTGGTTCGAGTCCTGGTGGTGACAGTCAATTTTTTCTTCAGACTTTTCCCGTTTCTGTCTTTCCCTCAAACTAGTGAAGATACATGTACTGTAGTTATGCTTTACCAGTAGCTAACGTTTAGTTTCTCTGGAAAGGAGAGTGTGTTGTACTGGAACAGTGCAATTTCCATTACTAACCTACTACTAACTAATAGCGGTGAGGCATCCTGCGACTTTACAACTTAAAGTGAAAATGGTGAGCACACATGCTCTTTCCCTGGGTACTGCAAATTCACAACTCAGTTCACCGGATCATTATCGACCTACTACTATCGACCTACTACTACTGCTACTACTATCGACCTACTACTATCGACCTACCACTATCGACCTACTACTACTGCTACTACTAAAGCCTTTTGTACGGGCAAAAAGAAAATTAGATTGTGAAATCAATTGTGTTAAAAAAACACCAACGCAAAGGAAACGGCAAGCAGAATACAAGCATAACTACTACCACTACTGCTGAAAGTACGAACTGATTCAAGAACATTTCGGCGGTGCATCCCTAAAAGGTGTACCAGCTATGCCACTGCTTATAGTTATGTCTGTTTGTCCGTCTGTTCTTGTGCCTTTGTTGTTTGCTCTGTACTATCCGTATATTTATGTCTGTTTGTCCGTCTGTTCTTGTGCCGTTCTTGTTCGCTCTGTGCTATCCGTATAGTTATGTATGTTTGTCCGTCTGTTATTGTACCGTTGTTGTTCAATCTGTACTGTCCGTGTTTGTCTTCAGTATCGCGAGCGCACTCTCTCCTTTCCCATTAACCATCACGGCATGAGCGCTCCTTGTTGTCTCTCGCCTTTACAATATTTGGAATCTAATCGTTTCAAAATGCCCCGTACTGGTACGGGATATCAGCTGATATGCTGATCAGCTGATCCAGCAAGCGCAAGCCTGTCTTGCAGCAGACTGCGCCTTATCGGCAATGTGCATTTACAATCCATTCATAAGTGATCAGCATCTTGCTTTTGGACATAAATGAATGGGTCAGGCATTGGAGTTTTTTTGCACTTCCTATTATGCTTCTAAAGTCTATTCTCCGAGAAAGCAAGCTGTAGGAAGAACAGGAATCCGGTCAGGTTTTGCACCAAAAGCACTTCATTGTGAAAACCATGTAAATCCAAGCCGTTTGACTCCACTTGAAACAGTACATGTACATTGTGCGATTCGAAGCCCAGCAAAGGTGCCATTATGAATTTCAACCCCCGCCGTGTAGGACAAAATCACCAAATACGGGAGCTCGCCAGAGCCAGAGATCCTCTTTGTGTGAATCGCATGTAGGTAGCAGAATTCCCCAGCGCAACCTGGCACATATTATGTCGTCCTGGCAGGAGCTGTGGCTCTTGTGGCAGAACTGACTGGGCTCGAGGTCAGGGCACACGTCAACTCTCTCAGTTTGACTAGCCAGCTCCGTGTGCTCTGGGCAGTTTCATCACCGAGTTGCTCCCTCTGCCGAGCCCTCCGGATGCTGGTGGTTGTTTCCGGTGCTATTGACAGCAGGAGGTGATGCGACCCTTGATTTACATGTAGGTCCGGAATGCTGTCCTCGTATCCCCCCTGATAAGGTCCAGCTCCACAGTTGAAGCGTTATCTTCTGCTTCAGTTAGCTGGTTATGTGGTGGAGCTGAGAGCAATCCCCCTTTATAGTCCAGCTCCACAGTTGAAGCATTATCTTCTGCTGCAGTTAGTTGGTTGTGCGGTGGAGCTGAGAGCAATGTGCGAGACTGCACTCGTCTTCTCGCAGTCTAGAACATTCCCAAACGTGCAGCAAGGACAGTGAAATGATAATCACATGGTGTCTATTTTGAATGATGCATTTTAGGCTGGAGGATTTATGTGCCCACTACGCATCGACATCCCGACTAGAGTATGTATGATATGGTATTCTTTGTTTTACTTCACCAAGCGTACAGGCTATGGTGGCTCGCAAAATGATGAACACCGGTAGGAGACAAGGACTCTGGGACTGTGTGTCCCGCTCCATCGATGTGTATCATGTTGTGTGTTGTGTGTACTCTGTAGTCTGGGTGTTTTGTCTGCCTGTGCATGTAGTTGTGTGTGAATTGTCCACGTTCCCAGGGCTGCACTGTGCTTGGCTCCCTTTGTTGTGACCTACCTACTCAGCTGTTTTAGTGTACATGTACTTGGTCAGATCATGTTTTTTTTTTTTAAATGGCCGTCAAAGTATCTGTGAAGAGCCAAATACGCTCTTTTCTCCTTTCTTTTCTCTTGGCCACAACTTGTGAGAACAGTTTGTCAGTTTCTCGTGGGGCTCTCAGGGTCGACACAATCCATTATAGCTTCACTCCTTGTCACTGCCATGTCAGCCATGCCATTGATGTTACATACTATCCAGAGTCAATGATATGTAGCCTCTCTCTCTCTCTCTCTCTCTCTCTCTCTCTCTCTCTCTCTCTCTCTCTCTCTCTCTCTCTCTCTCTCTCTCTCTCTCTCTCTCTCTCTCTCGCTCGCTCGCTCTCTCTCTCTCTCTCTCTCTCTCTCGCTCGCTCTCTCTCTCTCTCTCTCTCTCTCTCTCTCTCTCTCTCTCTCTCTCTCTCTCTCTCTCTCTCTCTCTCTCTCGCGCTCTCTCGCTCTCTCTCTCTCTCTCTCTCTCTCTCTCTCTCTTCCTTCTCTCTCTCGCTCTCTTTCTCTCGCTCGCTCTCTCTCTCTCTCTCTCTCTCTCTCTCTCTCTCTCTCTCTCTCGCTCGCTCGCTCGCTCGCTCTCTCTCTCTCTCTCTCTCTCTCTCTCTCTCTCTCTCTCTCTCTCGCTCTCTCTCTCTCTCTCTCTCTCTCTCACACACACACACACACACACACACACACACACACACACACACACACACACACACACTCTCTCTCTCTCCCATTCTCTCGCTCACTCTCTCTGTCTCACTCTCTCACTCTCCAGATGGTACACACTATACGTGATGCTCCATACAACGCGATGGGTAAGGAGTTGTTTGAGGTTGTACGCCTGTCTTTCGGTTGGGAAAGGGACTGTGCTGGTTGGTTTTTCTATTTCCGTTCTACATGCATTCGTCGCTGTGGATTAATCCTCTTTCCTTCCGATTTTTCCTTGTTTGTAGGTGTGTGTGCGTTATCAACAAGCAAGGAAGCCAATTATCTGGCCTACCCTGGCAAAGACTCTGTATGTCATTTGCATGTAGTGTTCTTCATTATGGTGCTGGTCTTGCTGCTGCTGCCACTGCTGTTGTTGTTGTCATCATCGTCGCCGTCGTCGTTGTTGCTGTTGTGGTTGCTGTTGTTGCTGTTCTTGGCTACAGACCAATGGTCATCTTACCGGTAACCCTAGAAGGGGTTTACACTGATTGGTCATGTAATGTTTTACTTCATGTAGCCGGCGTCTCGTTGTCGGTTTCATGCACACACCGTTGTTTCCCGGCTCCTTCGTTATGCCATGCCACGGCGTGTTAGCTTTGCCGACTCCAGTGTGCTTTGGTTGTGTGTGTGATCTATATCCTATACAAAGAGAAAAAGTATGTTCTATGCAAAGTACCTTACTGTAAGTCGACAAATTTTCGGCCCATTCAAATTTCGGCCTCCCAGGGCTAAAACACATTTCGGCTGCAACAAATTTTCGGCCTGTGCTGCTTCCGCCTATACACTGTCACACTGAACCTTGCAAAACAAAATTTCAGCTGCAGCAAATTTTCGGCCAAATATGATCAGGCCGAAAATAGTCAGAAATCAATATGCGCCGAATATTTGTTGACTTACAGAATACTGGAAGTGTCACCATTACCGGCCTAACGTTAGCACAGTTGCTCAGTGCAGTGGATGCAGAGCTGTCACTCTGTTCATATGGTGAAGTAAAATAAAGAAACAACAACAACAACTCACAGGAAAGACTATACTTGACTGGAAATTGATTTGACTCTCTCTCTCTCTCTCTCTCTCTCTCTCTCTCTCTCTCTCTCTCTCTCTCTCTCTCTCTCTCTCTCTCTCTCTCTCTCTCTCTCTCTCTCTCTCTCTCTCTCTCTCTCTCTCTCTCTCTCTCTCTCTCTTTCTCTCTCTTATTCTCACATGCAGTCTGGCCAGGTCATGCTATTCGACACAGTACACTTGGTAAGTGATCATGTATTATGTTGTATCATTATTTTGAATTTCAAAATGTGTGGGCGGGAAGGGCGGGTGTGTGTATGTGTGTGTGAGAGAGAGAGACAGACAGACAGTTGATCATGTTGATCTTGCCACTTCACCTCATCGCTTTTAAAATGTTGTAAATTGTAATGGAGTCTTGTCTAAGTCATATATATATATATATACACAAGCGGAAAAAACCGTCGGAGATCAAATTCCATTATAATGGAATTTGATCTCCGACGGTTTTTTCCGCTTGTGTGTGATGAAGCTCTGCCTCACTTGCATTGAGCACTCTCCGCAGTTTGAGACCATTCCCTTGTGTGTATATATATATATATATCAAGCTGCAACCGGACTGACAACTTTATCACGTGTTTGTTCTGGTACTGCATTCCCCTCATGTGTTGTTTCCCGCATTTTTCCACTGCTCCATACATTCTTATGGTAGTGTAGTGTGAACTTGAGGCGCGTAAGAATATTCTTGCTGATTCTCTACCCCCAGTATAAATTCTGGCTTCGTTTTCGTTCTTGCTCATTCCCATGTATCTACTGATGAAAATGGGTGAAAAGCTTTTAGTGTTATGAAACTGACAACCTTGTTGTTGTGTATATATATATATATATATATATATATATACTCAATCTGCGGACAGCATGCTGTTTCGTTCTTTTTGAACTCATCAGCGCAGCACAGAGAAAATGAGGCCGAACCTGATAGCAATGGAAATAAAAATTTCCAATCAGGCCCGAACGTACCTTGCCAGAGTGCTCAAACTGACAAGTCAGTGAGCTCTGCATAATGCAAACAGCAAAGGCACTACCCCACGCAAGAGTGCTCAACTGCTACAAGAGCAGGAGCGAAATACTCAATCTGCGGACAGCATGCTGTTTCGTTCTTTTTGAACTCATCAGCGCAGCACAGAGAAAATGAGGCCGAACCTGATAGCAATGGAAATAAAAATTTCCAATCAGGCCCGAACGTACCTTGCCAGAGTGCTCAAACTGACAAGTCAGTGAGCTCTGCATAATGCAAACAGCAAAGGCACTACCCCACGCAAGAGTGCTCAACTGCTACAAGAGCAGGAGCGAAATACTCAATCTGCGGACAGCATGCTGTTTCGTTCTTTTTGAACTCATCAGCGCAGCACAGAGAAAATGAGGCCGAACCTGATAGCAATGGAAATAAAAATTTCCAATCAGGCCCGAACGTACCTTGCCAGAGTGCTCAAACTGACAAGTCAGTGAGCTCTGCATAATGCAAACAGCAAAGGCACTACCCCACGCAAGAGTGCTCAACTGCTACAAGAGCAGGAGCGAAATACTCAATCTGCGGACAGCATGCTGTTTCGTTCTTTTTGAACTCATCAGCGCAGCACAGAGAAAATGAGGCCGAACCTGATAGCAATGGAAATAAAAATTTCCAATCAGGCCCGAACGTACCTTGCCAGAGTGCTCAAACTGACAAGTCAGTGAGCTCTGCATAATGCAAACAGCAAAGGCACTACCCCACGCAAGAGTGCTCAACTGCTACAAGAGCAGGAGCGAAATACTCAATCTGCGGACAGCATGCTGTTTCGTTCTTTTTGAACTCATCAGCGCAGCACAGAGAAAATGAGGCCGAACCTGATAGCAATGGAAATAAAAATTTCCAATCAGGCCCGAACGTACCTTGCCAGAGTGCTCAAACTGACAAGTCAGTGAGCTCTGCATAATGCAAACAGCAAAGGCACTACCCCACGCAAGAGTGCTCAACTGCTACAAGAGCAGGAGCGAAATACTCAATCTGCGGACAGCATGCTGTTTCGTTCTTTTTGAACTCATCAGCGCAGCACAGAGAAAATGAGGCCGAACCTGATAGCAATGGAAATAAAAATTTCCAATCAGGCCCGAACGTACCTTGCCAGAGTGCTCAAACTGACAAGTCAGTGAGCTCTGCATAATGCAAACAGCAAAGGCACTACCCCACGCAAGAGTGCTCAACTGCTACAAGAGCAGGAGCGAAATACTCAATCTGCGGACAGCATGCTGTTTCGTTCTTTTTGAACTCATCAGCGCAGCACAGAGAAAATGAGGCCGAACCTGATAGCAATGGAAATAAAAATTTCCAATCAGGCCCGAACGTACCTTGCCAGAGTGCTCAAACTGACAAGTCAGTGAGCTCTGCATAATGCAAACAGCAAAGGCACTACCCCACGCAAGAGTGCTCAACTGCTACAAGAGCAGGAGCGAAATACTCAATCTGCGGACAGCATGCTGTTTCGTTCTTTTTGAACTCATCAGCGCAGCACAGAGAAAATGAGGCCGAACCTGATAGCAATGGAAATAAAAATTTCCAATCAGGCCCGAACGTACCTTGCCAGAGTGCTCAAACTGACAAGTCAGTGAGCTCTGCATAATGCAAACAGCAAAGGCACTACCCCACGCAAGAGTGCTCAACTGCTACAAGAGCAGGAGCGAAATACTCAATCTGCGGACAGCATGCTGTTTCGTTCTATATATACTCAATCTGCGGACAGCATGCTGTTTCGTTCTTTTTGAACTCATCAGCGCAGCACAGAGAAAATGAGGCCGAACCTGATAGCAATGGAAATAAAAATTTCCAATCAGGCTCGAACGTACCTTGCCAAAGTGCTCAAACTGACAAGTCAGTGAGCTCTGCATAACGCAAACAGCAAAGGCACTACCCCACGCAAGAGAATAAGTATATATAAGTATATATAAGTATATATAAGTATATATAAGTAGAATTTGCTATTTCCCTCCTTGGCTTTGTTCTTGTGGAGCACACATGATAGAACATGCTGGCTTGTGTGGCTAGCGTCATGCTTGACCCGCTACTTTCCAAAGTCAGAGCACTCTCAGCGGTAGGACATTGCGTTGTCTTGATGTCCGGGCTTTTTTCTTGTTCAATTTGTAGTTGCACTAATGAGAGTCCTTGTTCGCGTGCGTGTGTGCATGTGTTCGCGGTGCAGAAGCACGCTCTCACCATCAACGCACATGCATCTCCGGTTGTGGCCTTGGCATTCAGCATGGACGGCAAAATGATTGCCACTGCCTCAGAAAAGGTACGTGATGTGAAAAGGTACTCAATCTGTGGACATAACTGTTTCGTCCTTTGGGTACTCATCATCGCAACACAGAGAAAAAGTGAGGCCGGACCTGATAGCAATGAAAGTTAAGTTTTCGAAATCCGAATTTAAACCAGGCCCAAACGTACCTTGCCAGAGTGGATACGATTTGAACTCCTCCCCTACATCACCAGCTGCCAGTGGTAGCCAAGCACTGTATTGTATGGTGGGTGTATATGTACTGTCGTGGACATGGAAATCCAATCGGACGTCAAGCGGCCCCAGGGTCCTGGCAATGCAGTCGTGAGTACGAATACGGATCAACAAGTGCTGCATGCAACATTCTGTACGCAGTGAGGGCGCCGGTCCCGGTCATTAGACTGGACTTCCATGTCCACGACAGTAGGACTCACTCGATATGTGCACTCGGGCGCTCTTTTTTCAAAGTCCATCCCGGATGGGAAACGTATCAAGAGAGGGCACTATTTTAATTCTGGTCCATTCACTTCATCCAGCATTAGAGCAAAGAAAGCGAAGAAGAACCCAGTCTGAAGTTTACTCTGAGCTGTCACGACTCAACAGAAACTGCAACAAGAACTGCAATTTTGATACTGAAACCACCGGGGCAATGCCATGGACAAGGAGAACATTTTAAAAGCGAAACAATACCAAACTTGCACATGCGCTCGATCACAAGGGGGGGGGGGGGGATTTTTGATCCCAATGACAGTGCCAACATTACTTGAAGGCTGGCTCGTCTTCAGGCTGAACGAGAAGACGTTAGTTCTCACCCTAATTTGCACCAGTTACGTGCTCTACCGCAGGGCGACTGGGACTCCTGCCTGGCTGATTTGCCTGAGGTGTCATTTGCATTGCTGTATCGCCACTTTATGAAACGCTCGCAAAGCGCTTTGGTCCGTGACGATCCAGTTAAAAGGATGGTCGAGTCCCAGACGACGGGTGACAATGATAGGCCAGCAGATAAAGTGTCTTTCTTTTTGTGGACTAGCCAAAGGCTGCCGCTTCAAGAGTAGACGTGTACAAAGTATTGACTTTCATGCATTTCCGTCCAGTCCAAATTTTTTTAATGTGCGTTCAAATGTCCTGCCAACAATGGCGAGAAGAGTGTACCGAATAATGTTGTACCTACAGCTAGAGACCAATAGATGGTATGGCGAATAACGTGCAACTAAACTGGGGAGGGCACTGCAGAGTAGTTTCATACAAAGAGCAAAGTTGTATGGTTACCTATGACTTGTGCTCCTGCAGAGCTAGGGGCCTACCGTGTACACATTGTGGTATACTATGTATGCAGCTGGTGTGCAATGCCCTCTCGAGTCTAGTTGCATGTTTAATACTGTAAAACATTTCAATTTCGGTGTAACTTTAATTTCGGTAATTCCGGTAGAGAAAACCAGGTGCCTAGATTAACACCTAAAATGCGCCAGAGTATGCACTGTATGCGGCGGGTAGGCTGGTCACCTAATTCTATATTACACCTGAAACCTGGCAGAACCCTGACACCGAAATTCGTAATGCACCTAAAATTACATGGTTTACAATATTTGGCATATCATCTATTGGTGACTGCACACTGTGTACTGTGTGCGTACATTGCCAGCTTGATCTTCTGCTGCAAGCACACTGACGAACTTCTTTATGCTCCGTGGAGTGTTCCATCTCAACGTTAGAATTTCCTTTCTCTGTGTCTCCACAAACATGAATTACATGTATATCTGTACAGTCATATCAAACAGGCTGTCCGAAATAACGCCACTGCCACCAGGCAATGAAAACTTCTTAATTCTTTTGATGGAACCCTCAAAGTGAATGCGCACAGCAGCATTTTTTTGGTTTTCAACACATTGTCGGGAGTAAAAGAGGAATGCTCAAACGGACACCAATCGAACTTTGCAAATGCTGAATGTCGAATCCCTTGCCAGCCGTAACGTTGTCGCCTGCCTCGATGTGGGAGAGCAGCCCATCCTACTCTACTATTTCTACGTCAGAATGGACCCCGCAAATATACTGCTTACAACTGCTACTGTGCCATCTGAGGACATTATGTACAATGGCTTTCATGGTAATATGATTTTTGTAGCTAGACCAGGTGGCACTCTGGCGAGCAAGATTGGAGGGACGCTCAATGAAGAACTCGGTGCCGTCGATAACGGTCCTGGTGGATGGGTACCACTGCTTGCAACATGAAGGCATGAGCATTGTCGCCTTCTTCCGTGACATCCAAAGTGGTATCTCAGCAAACTTGTAGTACATTAAGTTAGTCCACGACGTGAAAGTGCGACTCACAGTCAGGGATGATATGAAGCCTATCACGTCTTGCAGACGCCATCCCAGCAGCTGTTGTTGTGGATGTTCTGACTAGCTGCTTGCCACTAGCCGGTGCTAGTGTGCCGCTCGCGGTCCTCGCTGCTCCGAACCATCACCAGGAAGAACTGGTCTTCAAGCGACAGTTTTGCTGGCGCTCCACTTTTCTCTGTGAGACGTTCTCCAGAGGGAGTGCGTTGGCCCTGCCAGGGCCACATGGACTTTGCCCACGTCTTCAAGAAATGGGAAACAAGCCATCAGCACGCCAATGCTGAAGAAGCCAGTATAGTATCAGATCTTTCGGTCGTCAGGTGCGAACGCCTTCACGGTGCTTCTCAACATTACGCCGCAGACCTGCCAACTTAGCTTTCGTTTCTTTGAGCTCACAACTCACAGCATCCAGGTCCTTTCGTGTGCCAGCGTGTGTCTCCCGCTCATCGTCCAACTCATCCTCTAGCTCATTCGCACGATCAATGCGGCTGAGGACACACCACAATGCAAATTGCACACAGGATCAGTTGTTGGAGACCTCCTTTTCTGCCTGGGCCAACAAGTGTTTCGTGAAGACGGCTCACCTTCGATCTCGAATTTCCTGAGCATGAAACAGCAGAGACTGCATTAGAGGCAGCAGAAAGTACGCCAGGAGCAACACTACAATTACTACTAAAACCTGCTCGAATACAAGAACTCCAATGGTATGAGAGGCATGGCTGACTGCTTCGTCCTTCGACTTATGTTTCAGTTTGGTTTCCAAAGGCAGCAGTCTCACAGCTGGATATCTGCACTTGGGAGCTGTAGGTTGCAATTGATCTGGAAAAGACTGGGCTCTAATCGCATGAGTGCGGTATGTGCGTGTGGTGTACGTGTGTGTGCGTGTGGTGTGCGTGCGCGCGCATGTGTATGTGTGTGCGTGTGTATGTGTGTATGTGTATGCACTTGAACATGTTTGTTTGGTCAATACAGGGCACTGTCATTCGTGTGTTCTCCACTAAGACAGCTGCGAAAATGTTTGAGTTCAGGCGAGGCTTGAAAAGGTGAGTGTGGATGTGCATCATTGTGTCTTCCAACACACCCACAATCCATTCAGCTTAGTTGTCAATACTTGAGTTGAAAAGCCATTCAAACCTTGAATTTCCCATGAATTTTTCTTGTGAACCTCTTCATAATAGCTAAGACAAGAGAGCTTGGAAGCTCAGGGCCCTACGCTATGCTTTTTTGCCTTGATGACCTGGACAAAAAAAAGCATAGGGATGTTATAAATTTTCAATTCTCCTATTTTAATTTCAAGGCATAACCTGGGATTCGAACCCGCACAATCGCTCTACATTCATTCCCCGATACACTTTGCATTCATACTCATTCTTCCAAGTTGCTTCACGTTATGATCTTGCGCTGTTTAGGATCGGTGTACAGGCCGCCATCATTGACACACCGCCAAACCGATTATTTCTTTCCTCAATTTCAGTCCATCTTGCAACGCTTATCTATGCCCGACTCCATGCTTCTCGTCTCTGGGGACTTCAACGCTCGTTGCTCGGAATGGTATGGATCGACCACAGATGCGGTTCGTCATCAACTGCTGTGTCTGCTTCAAATGCTCTCCCTATCACAGCTCGTTACCTTTCCCACACATTACTCCCAACACAGTGGTCATGCCAGTGCGTTAGACCTGGTTATAACCAACCACCCACTACTTCTTTCTAACCTCTCAACTGCCGCACCGCTGGGTTCCTCCGACCACGACAGTGTCCTCGCCAGACTCCAATTACAAGGTCAGCGAGACACACGAGGTGTTGCCATCCCTGCCGAACCAAGTCAGTTCAACTTTTCTTCATTCGATACATCCCTCAGAGCCTGCAAAGAGTGGTCCCTCGTTGGCCAGTGCTTATCGACTATCGATTGGTTCAGCGAGCTCCAGATTCCTCTTGGAACTGAACCATATACCACATATTATACCATCTATTGTGGCCAGCTATTTGTGGCCAGCTGTGCTTGATGGTACGTTACGGGACAGATACGGTGCCAGCCAATATTGTGGCCAGCTGTTATGTACAATCCTGTAGAGCCTTTGTAGTCACAGATACGGGATAGCTCCAGGCGTGACACAAACAAACAAACAAACAAACACCAAATTAAAGCTGTGTGGACCCTGGCTAGCGCCAGACGTTACTGAAGTAACGTCTTCTGCATAGCTACGGGAATAAAGCCACACTTGATCTATTCCGCTTAGTTGTCAATACTTGAGTTGAAAAGCCATTCAAACCTTGAATTTCCCTTTTTCTTGTGAACCTCTTCATAATAGCTAAGATAAAGCCACACTTGATCTATTCCTTGTTTCGGGTAACTCGGCTAAAGCTTGAGTGGTCGATGTGTGGGTATGGGTGTGTGTGTTGGTGTGTGTGTTGGTGTGTGGGTGGGTGTGTGTGTGTGTGTGTGTGTGTGTCCAACCTGTCGGAAGGCTACCCTCTTGCCAAATCATTTTTGGAAGTTGGGCTAGTTTCGGCTCCACAATCCAGTGTGTCGTTACTATATAGCTTTCATGGCTGAGGTTGTTGGTACGTCTGTTGGCCCTGGGTTCCCAGTACCCAGTTGCCGAGGCTGGTTGGTAAAATAACTCCAATTTCACTTCAAGGTACCAGTGCATCTAGTGTCTGCTTTTATCAAAGCAGCGTGCTGTCTATACTGGTTACCCCAGCAAGTGTAGGGTGTGCATAGGTAACTGTCTTGGCCGTCCTATTCCGATGTACTCCGTGTGGTGTAGACCAGGTGTGCATTGGGGGGTCGATTCACATGGCTTCGCCAGTTGTGTGGATTAGACAGTTATCTGGCGCTTGTCTTGATCTGTTTCAATCAGAATCAGATCGTTGCTATAAAGAGAAAATCTGTGGGTGCACATCCAGTGCATTTGCAGATTTGCGTGCTTCTCTTGCGACGGGGGGTTTACATGGTACATGGTACATGGTGTGTGTGTGTGTGTGTGTGTGTGTCCATCTGTGGATGCTTTTTCATGTTTGCTTGTATATGGCTGTGTTTGGTTTTCAGGTGTGTGACAATCTACACGCTAGCCTTCAGCACGGACAATGCCTTCCTGTGCGCGTCCAGTAACACTGAGACTGTGCATGTTTTCAAACTAGACGCCACTAGCTCAGGGTAAGTGTGTGTGTGTGTCTGTGCGTGTGTGTGTGTGTGTGTGTGTGTGTGTGTGTTCTTTCGGGATACATTCGCTTGCTCTATCATCGATATGGTACTGGCACATGTGCACTCCAAGACAGTATTTCCCAGCTTTTCTTACTCCTACTGCGTGTGTGTGTTTGTGTGTGTGTGTGTGTGTGTGTGTGTGCATGTGCATACTTGTGTCTGTGCGTGCCATTGCTCAGACCTGCTGCAAGTTCATCAGCTGCGGCGGCGGCGGCATCACCGGAGACCGAGAAGGCCGAAGCCAGCCAAGACCAATCTTGGATGAGCTATTTTGGCAGTGTAGCTCAAGCACCAGCTAGATACCTGCCCTCGCAGTTAACCAGTGTGAGTAGACTACTACACTGTAAGATCATGTATGATTCCCGTATAGCGCCCTGATTACATTTGAATGCGTTAAGTAACTCTTTGTCCATTGTTGTTCTCACATTTTGCTGATTGTAATACAAACTTTGTGTCGATTATAACGAGCCACAAAATTAATGTAATGATTGTCCAAAATTCATTAAACGGTTAAAGGGGAAGTTAAGGCAAAAATTAAAATTTCACCAGTTGTAGTCTTCGGGGTGCTGAGTCGAATGGTCTTGGTCCGAGGAAGCTGAGACGCTCCCTTCCTACTTGAATCCCAATCGAACTCGCGCACTTCCACCGAAACTGGGTGACTGCGCCCTACTAGATGGGGATTTGTATGCAAAATGTCACTAAAAGCGCCATTTCGTTCTTATAAAAGCACGGATGACCGCGATTGGCCCATATGTTGTAGTCTTTGGGACGCTGAGTCGACTGGTTTTGGTCCGAAAAGGCTGCGATGCAGCGTTCCTCCTTTATTCCCAATCGAACATGGTTGAAGAAGCGGTCACGTGGTCCTGGGTGCCCAAATCACCTGGTCACCACGCCAGCAGGTGACAACTTTCACACCAAGGTTCAACTCGGGTTCAACTCGAGTGACAGGACTGCACCCAAAAAAGGTCAAACAGGCTAGTAAGTTGTACCCTGCAGGCACGGTGACCAGGTGACTGGTGTACGCAGGAGCACGTGACCGCTTCTTCAACCATGTTCGATTGGGAATAAAGGAGGAACGCCGCATCGCAGCCTTTTCGGACCAAAACCAGTCGACTCAGCGTCCAAAAGACTACAACATATGGGCCAATCGCGGTCACCCGTGCTTTTTTAAGAACGAAATGGCGCTTTTAGTGACATTTTGCATACAAATCCCCATCTAGTAGGGCGCAGTCACCCAGTTTCGGTGGAAGTGCGCGAGTTCGATTGGGATTCAAGTAGGAAGGGAGCGTCTCAGCTTCCTCGGACCACGACCATTCGACTCAGCACCCCGAAGACTACAACTGGTGAAATTTTTAATTTTTGCCTTAACTTCCCCTTTAACGATCTTGCAGTCATGGACTGGGATAAAGAGACAAGGATTAATTTTATAAGAAAGAAAATACGAGTTGTGTAGTTTGTTGAAGTTGGTTGTTCCAACTAGGAACACACGCTTCTTGCCGAACTTGACTGACTCGCGACTGCCACAATCTTCCTCAGCCTACTCAAGCTCAACTGATGAGGGGTGAATTTCCCGAAGCACTGTGTATTGAGCAGGGAGTGGTGCTTTCTTGCAGATTTGCCGAGTGGAAGGTGCGACGTTCTCCTCGTGTGCTCCGGATGGCAGTCGTGAGTCAGTCAAGTGTCAAGTTCGGCAAGAAGCGTGTGTTCCTAGTTGGAACAACCAACATTCAAGAAAGAAAATGACCAAGGAACTACAAGTTACGCTATCATGTGACTGATTATTCTGTTGTCGGATATCCCACGCGCGGAGTTTCAGTCTCACTGTGTTGCCACACCTGTCGACATGTCAGTAGCCTGCCGACTTTTGAGGCATGCCACGACCTGCCGACAATTGACCTTCTCCTGCCGACAACAGCCATGAAAGTGTTCAAGTTTGACCTTATGCATGATTTAGGAGTCATGATCCAGATTTTTGACTTTTACTGCGCATCACGAGTGTTTCCATAGCTATCTCCTGAGGCGCTAATAGGCAATTCACACGACAGGCAAATCCACGTTTACAGGAAAGTCACCATGGAGATATTCCTGCGGGCGACCAAAATTTGCCCGCGGGAATCAAAAGTGTCCATGGCCTTTTTGCCCACGGATGCACTCATCTGCGGGCACTTTCACAGTTATGAGGCTGTGAGGTCGTACTATCGTACGGTAGGCTTGAACCCTGGTTGTTTGGCCTTCGTCTTTGGGTACTCATTCCAAATCACCACAGTAACGCCGTATACTCACCGGATACTCGCGGGAGCTCTGGCCGCCACCCGCGGCCGTGTGAACTGCAGCCTCGCGTTTCACTTCCTTCGAGCACCTGACAAACGTGGATTTGCCTGTCGTGTGAATCGCCTATAAGCGAAATCATCATCCGTTTCGGGGAAAAATCGGCAAACTCAGCCTGAGTGTCACGCAAAACTGTGAAATGTTTTTTTCTTATCAGTGTTGCATGTGTGTGTATCGAGGTCGCTATATAGGGGAGGGGGTTCCGGGGGCGAAGCCCCCGCATGATGCATTTTATTTTTTCATGCTACTGATATTGGCAGCTTTATTCTCCCAATACTTCTTTATAACTGCGGCACATGGAGCCTGACAGAGACTCAAGAAAAGAAACTTGACTCGTTCCACCGCCAGCAGTTACGAGCAGTCATAGGGGTCAAATATCCCCGTATAATACGCAATGAAGCACTGTACAAGCGCACTGGCTCCAAGCCACTCAGCAGAATCATCCAGTCTGCTAGGTGGAGAATGTTTGGCCACATGCTTCGACTAGACACCTCATCCCCGGTCCAGCAGGCTATGTCAGCATACTTTCAGCCAGGAAGCTCAGGGTTCCGAGGCCGCCCGAGAACAACACTCCCGCGATCCATCAACAACGACCTGAAAACTTCCAGATCCACAAACTCCCTCGCATCACACGAGGATCTAGTTGCACTGAGGCAGCTCGCCCAGGATCGTCCAAAGTGGAAGGAACTAATGTGTGCTGTGTGTAATGGCTGAAGTTATACAATTACACTAGATACCCTTAACAATAATAACGGATACAATTACACTAGATACCCTTAACAATAATAACGGATACAATTACACTAGATACTCTAGATACTAGATACTTGGTACTCTAGATACTAGATACTCTAACAATTTTATCAAACATTATGATAATTACCACATCAAATGCTGCGGAGACCTATCCAGAATCGGCAATATGCTGGCCCTGGCCTGGAGATCTGCAACTATAATCAGCTTCTACTTTGCAACACTAACGGATTAGTCCCCTTTGTCGATTGATGGATCAATCGGTAGATTCGGCTCTGTTTTTCTTTCCTTTCTTTCTTGTTTTGAATTGTACGTTGAACTCATTGGATTTCTTTGTATTTTGTATCTCGTTATCGTTATATTTCCCTCTAGCCCTCTCGCTTAGGATGAGCTTTCTTTTTTATGGCAGCTTAAGCGAAGGCTATATACCTGCTTTATGCAGGTTGATGCCAACGCGAACAAGCAAAATAATAATAATAATAATAACTGATATTTGGCTAGAATGATGTGGCAACACTGGTCTCATCGGGGGCTTATGTACTCTGATATTGATGTTTGTGTATACACACACACACACACACACACACACACACACACACACACACACACACACACACACACACACACACACACACACGTACCGTGTGTGTGTCTTTTCTATTGCTATTCGTAGATGACAGACGGGCTAGCACAGCCGAGGGCGTTTGCGTTTGCCAAACTACCAGAAACCGGCCATCGGACAACGTGTGCATTCCTCTGGTAAGAGAAACAGATGACTGTGTTGGCCGCCTTGTGCTAACCCTTGCTAACCCTGCATATTCATGTTGTGTTGCATCACTACAGTCTCACATGCATTACCTGTCTGCTGTGAATTGTGTGCAAGTTGTTTTTAAGTGGGTAGTACTGCTTGTAACAGCTAACCAGGACTTGCGGAAGCAGTTATTGATTGGTCCGGCCACACCCTACATACATTGTGTGTATGATATGGAGGGCAGACATATGACCTCCTCAGCAGTAAACACACGTTGCTGGCCAACACGTTGGTCCGGCCATGGCCTGACCAACCAGACTGGTTCCGCCGGGCCTGTAGACACAGTAGAACGTGCTCTTGTCCGCCCTTCCAACGTCCTCGCTCTTTGTGTGTTTCTGCTACTGCTGTGTGTGTGGCTGTGTGTGTGTGTGTGCGTGTGTGTGTGTGTGTGTGTATGTGTGTGTGTGTGTGTGTGTGGTGTTTGCAGTGCGTCGCAGGACAACCCTATTCCGCGTGTGCTGGTGGCGTGCGGTGACGGTCACCTGTATGTGTACAACGTCAAGCCCGAAGGAGGCCAGTGTGATCTGGCCACCAGCCATCTGATCCGGCCAAGCTTGGTTGCCGAGCCCGAGCCAACACCGGTATGTATATTGTACATGACATTGTACAGTGGTGCCTCTATAATCCGGCACCATTTGTGCTACGGAAATTCTGCTGGATTAGGGAGGGTGCCGGATTAGAAAATCTGATTTACTGCTGCAATGTGCATGAAAAGGACATTTTGGTATCTGAAAATTATGCTGGTTTATAGAGGGCACTGGTTTAGAAAGTGCTGGATTAAAGAGGGACGGCTGTATACCCGACCTGATATCGATAATGCCCGGACCCCAGTGTGCAACATGATGTGTTTCAGGCAGACGTCCGCAACCTCAATTTCACGCTACTATCCACTGATATTGTGAATGGCAGCGCGAATTTGAGTTGTGGCAAAGCACGTCCAGGTCTGTTTTAGAACTACATGAAGTATCCAAATTGACTCAGAGTATGTAACTCTGTATAATATCTAGGTTCTGGACGGCGTACTGTGGTGTCTACGTTATGTTCGACGTCAAGATGCACTCGTACCTCGCTTATCCGGGCGGTCCAGGACCGGCCACTGCCCGTAACTTTTCGAAACGTCCGTAACTCCGAATCACATACATTTTGGTGGGGAAAGGCCCTAGATATTGTTCAGTACAGTGCAGTGCAGTGCAATGCTGTGCAGTGCTATACAGTGCAGTGCTATTCAGTGCAGTGCTATTCAGTGCAGTGCTATACAGTGCAGTGCTATTTAGTGCAGTGCTATTCAGTGCAGTGCTATTCAGTGCAGTGCTATTCAGTGCAGTGCTATTCAGTGCAGTGCTATACAGTGCAGTGCTATACAGTGCAGTGCTATACAGTTCAGTGCAGTGCAGTGCTATACAGTGCAGTGCAATGCTGTGCAGTGCTATTCAGTACAGTGCAGTGCTATACAGTGCAGTGCTATTCAGTACAGTGCAGTGCTATACAGTGCAGTGCAACGCTGTGCAGTGCTATTCAGTACAGTGCAGTGCTATACAGTGCAGTGCAACGCTGTGCAGTGCTATTCAGTACAGTGCAGTGCTATTCAGTGCAGTACTATACAGTGCAGTGCTATTCAGTACAGTGCAGTGCTATTCAGTGCAGTGCAGTGCTATTCAGTGCAGTGCAGTGCTATTCAGTGCAGTGCAGTGCTATTCAGTGCAGTGCAGTGCTATTCAGTGCAGTGCAGTGCTATACAGTGCAGTGCTATTCAGTACTGTGCTATACAGTGGAGTGCTATTCAGTGCAGTGCAGTGCTATGCACTGAGTATGCAGCGCTATGCTGTGCTATTCAGTGCAGTGCAGTGGTGTGCTGTGCTGCCCAATGCTATTAAGTGCAGTGCAGTGGTGTGCTGTGCATTGGGATATCAGCAGAGTGTGCACAGCCTATGGGCTGTACAGGTAGTCAGTTCTGAATCAGTGACTTAGTCCAATGTAGTATCTATACTATAGCTATATTCAGTATATGTAGGCTCGTTGTGTCTTGTGTCAACATCCCACAGTGCAATGTGGTAAACCGCTGTCTTGGAACTAGATGGACGGAAATACCATGCCCTTTTCAATATTCTGTCCACGCCGTCACCCGGATTTACAAGTGTTGCTCCTGCAACTCCTGCAACTGGGTGATGGCGAGGTGAACATCACTGCATTCGGAGTTGCTCCACGCGAATATAATAGCAGCTCTGCTTGTCTGTAAAGTGCTCTCTCTCTCCTCTCTCTCTCTCTCTCTCTCTCTCTCTCTCTCTCTCTCTCTCTCTCTCTCTCTCTCTCTCTCTCTCTCTCTCTTTCTTTCTCTTTCTCTCTCTCTCTCTCTCTCTCTCTCTCTCTCTCTCTCTCTCTCTCTCTCTCTCTCTCTCTCCAGGATGCTGCCACATCCGGCATCGTCGGTGGACTGGCTAACCTTAGTGTCCACGGCAGTCCCAGCAGCCACAGTGTCTCAGAGAGCTCAGCGGCGGCGGAAGCGTTACCGGCCACTGACCCAGCAGCAGAAGCGGCAGCAGCCTCTGCACCGGAGCAATGCATGGATTATGAGATTTGATGCTGCGCGTAACGAAACGGCTGACATATCTGTATTGTGACTCATCTCGCCTTGCCCTGCAACTGCTACTACTACTCATCACTGGATCAAATTGACTTGCCAACAGCACTGAGTTGTGATGTACAGATGATGTTGCTGTACAGATGATGTTGCTGTACATACATACCTGTGTGTGCGTGGTTGGAGTTGGTCGGTGACTTGAACATCCTCCGTCGACTACAGTAGACCTAGTATCCGTTCTCTCTCCGTCCGTCCATCCATCCATCGTACATCTACCGTCCTATTCCGACGAGGATTGCTCCAGATTGCTTCAGTACAGGGTCACTCACTGGCGGCGGTCGTGGAGCAGGCAGCCAGCCAAATCATGAGATGACCGCCTCCAGAACGTTGTGATTGAGCTCAGCAACAGCGTGTGGCCTTCTTTACGTTCTGCGTGGCTTGCCGTTACCTAGTGCTGATCTGCTCGCCATGTTGGCATGGTGATTCGTCAAGCAATATGGCCGGGAGATATGCAGTGCCGGCCGGCTCAATCTGTTATGAATGCACGCGTACTAGAGACAACGGTGTGCGTGTGTGTGTGTGTGTGTTTGTGTTTGTGTGATGTATCAAGAACAGCAAAGATGCATGCAGCCGGTACTCGATTCCGTTCCCATCGCCAGTCGCTGATGCACATAGCTTCATGTCCGTGTCATGCTGTTGCTGCCGTTGAAGTCATTATGCTGCCCTGTCGCTTACTATTACCCCATACGCACAACCGGACGGCACGTGCTGCCCAGCCCTTGACTGCTGCTAGCAGCTTGTGGACATGTCATTGCAGCTATCCTGCTGTCACTGCTGTATATGCGCGAGCAGTGCGGCCATGGTTGGCACAACAATCCGTTGTTCGACCGTGTTCGGTGCTGTGTACCATTAGTCCGTTGTCCACCGTGGCGGCATCTGGCTCTAACAGCAGCACAATGAATATGCCACTGGTACGGTGCTGTGCCGCTGCATCACAGCTCCCGTTTGTCGTTCTGGATTATTCTCGGCGTGGCCAATCGTTCTTGCCAAGCTTTATGCTGTGCAGTGCGCACTCCTGGCTCTGGAACTCTAGAATAGAGTCGTGTGTTGAGGCCGGGCACATACCGGCTTCGCCATTCGTCGTTGTTGAGACTCTCTGGTTTGAGTATCATGCAGCAAGTCCCTGTGTGTCTTGGTGATAGCCAGTCCCTGTGTGTCTTGGTCATATCTTGTGAACACTGTTTGCTTCTAATACGTTGAGAGTGCGTGCCTGCTTGTTCATATGTGATACATTGTAGACAATCCTCTAACCATGCTTCCTCTTTCGGTCTGCCCATACTTTATAATAATTATTATAATATTATCTTTTTCACGGGTTCTCTCTCTCTCTCTCTCTCTCTCTCTCTCTCTCGTGTATATACACGCTAACATGCCATCCGACCCACCACACACTCCCATATGCTATCTAATCCACCGCTGACTGCTTGAAACGACGTGTATTGCCTTCTCACTGCCCTGCTTCGTTCAATGCTGCTGTAGGAGTATTTTCGCTGTTTGTTTGTTTTTTGCCGATTTCCAGACAATGTCTTGTGTGGTGTGTTCTCCAGTCTCTTTAGCCGTTCTACTTTCTAGTCGCGTTGGGAGCGTATACCTAGAACAATCAGCGCTGTCTTCAAAACCACCCTTCTTGCCCCTGCCCCCCCCCCCCCCCCCCCATATTCTGATTCTTATTCCAACACCTGTGCTGATGAACTGTTCAAATTCCAGCTTTTATCCTTTTCAACTCTGGAATTTTTATCTGGCTGCTTTATAATCATTAAATTTATCTGTTGTGTGCTCCTGTATACTGTGTGTCTCCCTCTCTGGGGAATAATCATGTTGAGCAAGATGTCATGCAAAGTCTGTTTTTTGTTGTCCGCTACCCATTTTTCGGTACGGCGCTGTGTGGATGCGGGAGGTAGTGGCGAGATTTTCGATCAGGGCCCTGATGCAGCATGTGCCTCATTCCCGTACGATTCACTCTTGATTGTCTCATTTCATATTATACTGCCATTTTTGCCCCAACCTAAAAACCGCTTTCAACTTTTCACCCACCCCTGGCTCCCTGCAGTCTCTGAATGTATAATTCCGGTGACCTGGGTCATGCAGTTCTAGCAGTACATGCAACCTTTTATCCAGTGGAATACTACCCCATGCCAGCAAGAGTACATAACCCCTCGGGGTTATGTACTCTTGATCAAGTTGATGCCAGGGTAGCTGGGGCCACACGGTCCATTTTACCTGTTTAGTATGAGTGGCAGCCCCCCCCCCCCCCCCCCCAGCTCTATCCTTTTCCAGGATATCCACCAGGGCTAGAGAGTAGGGAGTCGTGATATCCACCGACTTTTTCATCATGTCTGTCACTTGACCCACGGCATGCCAATGGAGTTTCTCTACCACAGGTACATGATTGGTATTAGATAATCCAATACTACTACATGTAGTAACGGCCCAGGGCTCTACCAACCGTGGATGGTTGCAGTAAGGTCACTGTTCCCTAACACGGACGGTGTCCTCCACCTTGTTTTTTTCCTCCACCTTGTTTCATGCTGTCAAACCATTGAAACCAACAACATAATTATGTACATGATTGTACACGCAATGCTGTACATTGACATTGTAGAGACAGCAACTATTACTTCAACTTGTGAGCTGTTTCGACCATAAGAACTAAAAGGGCCTCATCAGTACAGCAGTGACGAGCTCTTGTAATGTGCAGGGCAAGCTGTGCAGAACAAGTCATGCATGTGCATGATCTGTCTAAAAATGGGTAGCGGAAGCGACTTTGTTCATTCATTCCGAAATTCAGACTTTATGGGAAGGGAAAAGAATTTAAAGCAGAATTAAATTGTCTAGCCCATGCGGGGAGTTATCTTTAGCACCTTCTCCCCACCACGGTCTTTCACTGCAATAGGTGTGTGTGTGTGTGTGTGTGTGTGTGTGTGTGTGTGTGTGTGTGTGTGTGTGTGTGTGTGTGTGTGTGTGTGTGTGTGTGTGTGTGTGTTCGGGGCGCCAGTCAGTGCGGGCGGTGTGGGCGGTGGCTGAGAAGCCGCGGTGGCTTGGTCCGGCATGTGTGTGCCTCAACGGTGGATGCCGCAGTGCCACCTGGAACTACCGGAACGTCGGCACCGGCGGAGGGATGTTGTGCCGCGCATTGTGACAGGTGTGGTCGCTGCTTTCGCGGTGTCCGGGGACGGGGAAGGCATCGCTGTTCAAGGGTGGCGCATAGACCAACAGCAGAGGAGCGCTCAGCCTTCCAGCACGTGTGCATATGCGGCAAGCGGATGCGACTACCCGTGCACCTGGAGCGTCATCGAGCGTCGTGTCCTCTCTCTCTCTCTCTCTTCTCAAGTTTCCCAGTGATGGGATCACGTGACCCTTTTGCGGCAGTGACTCTACAGGACAGGACAGGACAGGTGTGTGTTCTTCTTTTTTCAGACTCTTCCTGACTTTTCTTTCATTCTCCAACAGCCAGTGCATGCCGGAGTATGTGGTGTGATGTGTGTGCGGGGAAAAAAAGAGACCAAAAAGTAGGGATTCACTGGCCAGAAATAGCCACTTCATAGCTGTGTGGTGTAGACCAGGCTGAATAGTGGCGGTCAAATTCTTCAGCCTTGCAAGCTGCTGAATGGTGCAATCCCAGCACAAGTTGCTATGGCTTCTGCTGTAGCATCGCTATCGTCGCCTCTGGCGATGGGCATCCAATGGTCCAATGGTGTGTGTGTGTGTGTGTGTGTGTGTGTGTGTGTGTGTGTGTGTGTGTGTGTGTGTGTGTGTGTGTGTGTGTGTGTGTGTGTGTGTGTGTGTGTGTGTGTGTGTGTGTGTGTGTGTGTGTGTGTGTGTGTGTGTGTGTGTGTGTGTGTGTGTGTGTGTGTGTGTGGTGTGTGTGTGTGTGTGTGTGGTGTAATCCCAGCACAAGTTGCTATGTCTAACATAGCTGTTCGCTATCATCGCTTCCGCGATGGGCATGTCTGAGGTCTGAGGTCTGAGGGGTGTGTGTGTGTGTGTGTGTATGTATTCTTCAGCCTTGGAAGTTGTTGAATGTTCCCAATCCCAGCACAAGCTGCTATGGCTTCTGCTGTAGCATCGCTATCATCGCCTTCGGCGATGGGCGTCCACTGGTCCAATGGTGTGTGTTTGTGTGTGTGTGTGTGTGTGTGTGTGTGTGTGTGTGTGTGTGTGTGTGTGTGTGTGTGTGTGTGTGTGTGTGTGTGGTGTGTGTGTGTGTGTGTGTGTGTGTGTGTGTGTGTGTGTGTGTGTGTGTGTGTGTGTGTGTGTGTGTGTGTGTGTGGTGTGGTTTGTGTGTGTGGTTTGTGTGTGTGGTTTGTGTGTGTGGTTTGTGTGTGTGGTGCGGTTTTCCTGCCGACTTGTGTGAGAATTCAAGTCGGCAGGAAAACCGCGAGCTCCCATGTAGGGAGCAACACACAATTCCCCAAGTATCGCCGAAGTCGCACCAACCTCTTCTTCACATTGTTGTACCAGCGGGGGCTTGCGAACTAGATGGTTTGGAGGCAACAACGTTGTGAACGGCCAACGGTCCTCAGCGCTTGTTCAGCACCTCCACGGGCGACACTGCTGACTCACGCTGCTATCTGGTGTTCACGAGGTGTTTGTCGCACTGGAAACGGAGCGTCTCTCTGGAAGTTTGTATCCCTGGCAGGGACTTCAGACCACGTGACTTCATGGCCCAAAAGCGTGCAAATCGACGCCTGCACAAATCGTGTGATGGTCATATGTCAAGTCGGGTAAAGAAATGTGGAACCGTTTTTCGAAAGGAAGGAAGTCTTGTACAGTTGGAGAAAGTTTCGGTTCGTCTTGTTGGAGCTTGCCTTCGTTTGGGATCAGCAAGAATGGAGCTGTTACGTTCATTTTTGACGGAGATACGTATGCGGATGGAAGGGAAAGGTGAGAAACTATATGATCCGTCCGGGTCCCCTTCTTGAAAATGTGATATTCGTATTCTACGACCTCGAATTAGTCTAGATAGAAGGTAATCTTTATTGTTTTCACCTTCCAGAAGACCTATTTGTTGCATTATTCCTCTTTGTACTTTGCCGTGCAGCGCCGCCATTGTTGCGAAACCACAAGTTCTCGAGAGTGAAAGGCCTTCTCGCTTGTGACATTGTGTTCGTTCCAATGCAGTTGTATCCCGACTCCGCCGTACCGCTGATGCTTACGACGTGGAATACGCTACATGCGCTATGTGCGGTTTGCTGTGTGCGCTGTAGTTAAGTTGTATGTTGTACATGTATGTGTATGCTTTTCTCATATACGCTGTCATTTTCACGCTATAACTACCTGGTGGTTTTAGTGTTAGTTCTTCATTATTCATTATTGTTAGTCGATCGAAGTCAATACACTGTTGAGAATAAATAGTTGTCCTCTTGCCGTGTGGTCGTTCGTTCCTGACACTTTAGAGAACCAGAGGGTTCACAACAGCCATAGTCAGTATGGAAAGCAGCGAGAAGAATCCTGCGCTAAATGATGCTGATGTACAAATTGCGCTTGGCTGTTTCGGTCCATGACCCCACTCTTGTCTCCAATGCTGTTATGCTCGATCTCGTTGAGCTCGGCAAGAATAGCTGAAAGAGTTCCGAACTGGACATTTGCTGTATATTCTTGTTGCTATTTGCTGTATCTCTGCTGATGTGCGTGCTACGATTACTCCAGCCAATACAATGTCCTGTACATGTACATGTTGAGCTTAGTCAGTGCCTTTTCCGTGATCATTCTATTTCTTGACACCAACCACACCAACAGTCCGAAGCTATCTCAGGACTGTATTTATCAATGTACATGTATAGTGTTTACTAACCACTACATTGTAAACCATGCTATTGAGCTATTTCATGCGGAGAATCAAGATTGTTTTTGGATCTGGTGTGCGGTTGCTATGCGTTGCTAAGGAAAGTGGGTTCTCTCAGTTTGACATATCTCTCTGATCTCAAATGTGTGGGACGTTTGTCGGAAAATCCGGTGATAGGCGATGACTATTTTGCTTGTAACTTTAGTTTCCTTTGTCCGATTTAGAAAAACTAAAGACCAAACTCCTCAGGAAGCTCTAACCTATCCAAAAAGCAAAACATAAGCCACAGAAAACCGATTTGAAAAAATGGTCTGAAGTCCTTATCCCTGGTGATGGTTGTGCCTGGAGAGCACTATATACATGTAAGTGGTACTCTTCAGGCACAATCTTCCTCAGCCTACTCAAGCTTAACTGACCGAGGGGTGAATTCCCCGAAACACTGTGTATTGAGCAGGGAGTGGTGCTTTCTTGCAGGTTTGCCAAGTGGACAGTTCGATGGACTTCTAGTGTGCTCTGGATAGCAGTCGTGAATCAGAGAATTAAAGTCGGCAGGAAAACCGCGAGCGCCCATGTAGGGAGTAACACACAATTCCCCAAGTATCGCCGAAGTCGCACCAACCTCTTTTTCACACTATTTAAAACTAAAACTAATCATTGCTTTACTTTCGCGCATATGCAGGTCAGGGAGTCGCAACTTCAGGCCAGTACTACAACTAACGACGGTTACGTAGCGTTAGTATGAATAGTACATGTATCAGCAAGAGCAAGAGTGAGCTCCCGGGAGCTATAGACTACTACTCTTGGTATCAGGCCATTCAGGGTAGTGTTCAGCACCTGGCATTGTTCAGCCGCCATGTTTAGGGCCGCTGTGTACATGTACCATCAAGAGTACATTGGTACATGTATCATGCATGGTGTATACTGTCATAAGTGCTGATTAGCTGCATCTGAGGTGACATGGTCATGCCACGAACCGGTGACCATGGTGACCGGCCGGCTCGAACACTGACGGCGTCGATAAGCCATACCACGCATAGCCGCACCGCGCTGGGAGAAACGAAAACAAAACGGCACCAGTCTGACTCCGTTGGTCAACGTTTACGTGAGGTGACTGGCCGCAACTGCGGGCAGGTGGGTCGATCACCTTTGTAGTCTTTGTGTTCCCTGATCGCCCCATAAACAAACCGCCTAACCATATTGACCCGCTGCTTGGGGCAGTGAAATGGTCTTCTCTACCTCTACTCAAGACTGTAGACTATAGTATAGACTGAGCCTGTGGATGGTAGATGGTAGGCTGTGAGAGCACCCTGCTAAGGCAACTGCAGCATGAGTGACGATAACATTGGAGGTAAACCTTGGCGCGCGGAGTCCATCTTCCATTCTAGCGTTTCTACGATGTTTGTGTAAAGTCCCAACCTGGTAACCATGTCTACAGACTATGCGACGAGAACGCTATTATCGAGTATTGCACTGTTGGTGCCACTGACAGCGAGTGGATCCCAAATCTGGATTCCCTGATCAACCCTACTACGTACATTGTACAACTACAGTGCTGGCAACTGAAATCCAACCCCTGAGCGGTGGGTTCACATTCTAGCGGTCTCTGTTTCGTAGTTTTTCCATCCCGTGTTGGGTCTTTGCGATGTGAGCGCACCGCTCAGGGGGTGGATTTCAGTTGCCAGCACTGTACAACGAGTGCTGGGTGCTCTGAGTGATGAGATGCAGTGGCCGCCATGTTCCCGTCACCATGCCTGGGCCATCGTAACGATATCGCCAGATACCACAGCAACCGATCCATACACCCGAGGCGACACTGTCAAGTTCACGAAGCACTTTGGAAACAAAATGCTATATCAGAGACAGGGGGCACAGAGTATATCTCGCCTGACAAAGACAGGAACAAAAACTGAAAAAGTGACAGTGGCCCATCGTTACGTATGCGCGAGTGTTGTACATGACCACCCATGACCAGCAGGTAGTTGCTAAGTGAAGAGATAGTACTGTGCATGTAAACACACGCACTCAGATACACACAATGCCAATGGACACACACACGCACTCAGATACACACAATGCCAATGGACACACACACGCACTCAGATACACACAATGCCAATGGACACACACACGCGCACACGCGCGCTAGGCGCTGTGATGTATCTCGCGCCCGCGGGAACAATCGACACAGTCCAGCGGCTTAGCCGCTAGGATGTGGTGTCGGTATTAGCCGATGGTGGCAACAAGCGTTTCCGAGGGCCCACACTCACACCCGCCCGCCGAACCCCGGCGTGTCGCCGTATGACCACCAATGGTAAAGCTTGATCCGCGTCTGCGATGGAACGCGGAATCAGTGCGGATGGTCGATATTATTTATTGTACGGTTACTTGTGATTCAAATGTAAGATAGAGATCCTATAATATGAAGTTGAAGACTCCACCACAGCTGGAGAGATGGCATGTAGCATCGACAGCATTCAGTGTCCACTGCACAAAACAGCATGCACACGTATCGGCTATGCCATGCACTGCAGAAGAAAATAATTATCGCATCCATGCCTCATGTGTTTCGTTCTTCGGTGACGTGCATGTGCAAAGGCGACCCGAAAGAGAGAGAGAGAGCGAGAGAGAGAGAGAGAAAGAGAGAGAGAGAGAGAGAGAGAGAGAGAGAGGGGAGGGGGGAAGAGAGAGAGAGATTGAGAAAGAGAGGGAGGGAGAGTGTGTGAGAGGTGGTGGTGGTGGAGGAGGAGGAGAGAAAAGGAGACACATCTCACTTCTTGACTGCTGTCTTACCACATCATTGTTTCCTTACTTTTCTCCTCACTCCTCCTCCCCCCCCCCCCCAACTGGTGGGTACAGCATACAGGCAAGCTGAGACCACTGGTCACCTCATCCGCACAGCTACCATGCATCTGCAGCCCGTCTCAGTTTGTGCATCCTCTTTGCTTCCTCTCCGTCTGTGCTTCTTCACCGAGCCGGGTCTGTGTATGTCGTAAAATAAAGTGTGAGTGCAGGGCCATGTACACAAACACACAGTCATAGCAGGCAACAGGAAAACCTGTCAAGGCGACCACCTGTCCTAGAAGACCACTGAAACCAGGATCAAGGGATGCTATTTCCAGTCAAATGACCCTGGATAAGGAGACCACCTGGTAACAGACTTTAAACAGAGACCACATTTGTGAGGTCCCTGGCCTTGGCTTGAGCGGTCGTCTTAGACAGGTTTCACTGTACATGTAGACTAGTTTGAGCTGTTGTTGATTATCATGTTCATTTTGTTGTTGATGGTGCAGCCATTGCGTCATACATTGTAGTTCTTCATCATGTTCATGCACACAATGTCCGTGCTGAGTTGTGGTGTGTTTCCGCGGAGTTGATCGAATGAACTCTAATTCGTATAGCAGTGCAGATACATGTAAGGTGCCAATACATAACTAACTGCGTTGTTTGTGCAGTACCCTTGCGCGGTACCACCTCAACGTTTCCAATGCCTTTAATTACTATGCGGCATCATTTCACACTGGCAGGTATTTGTACACGTCCAGGTATGCACAATGTTATTGATCCTCTTTCACTTGTAGACTCATTCCTGCTTTTAAGTGAGCATGACGAGGATGCGACCATTTCACGTAGGAACATCAGATTCGGCAGCTCATGCCTATGTTGCAAACCACAGCACTGGTAGAACATCACAAAGACTTTTTTTAAGTACTACATGGATTGTACAAGTACAAGCAGTGCTTGTGTATACAACACAATACAATGTATGTGCTCGGTGTCAGGCAGCGATGCTGAACAATAACGCTGCCGGTGGCCACTGTGGACTATGTGTTGGTGTTCACCATGATCATGCCGTGCAAAGAGTCTAACACGTGTCCATAGACTCCTAGTATACTGTGTCAGCCGAGGCTGCGAAGCCAAGCCCAGCCGGCCTTCATCAGAAGTTCAGCGCTATGCTGTTGTGCGTTGCCTGTTCATAGACTTGACTGAGGTGCAGTACAATCACGTACTGTGTTGAGGATTGTCTTTATTAGTCTTTAGTTCCACGATGGCCCATGATATGACCAATAAGGAAGATTACTATGATTCAAATAAGTCTACAGTCATGTAAAATTAATCTGGCAAGTAAAGGAAGCCAACATTATCGCGAAGGGGTTAAAATGGTGTACAGTGTTACGACAGATCTTATGCAGCCCTTCTTCCTGACAGCCTCCACTAGGACCATGTTTAAAAACACTTCATCTCATGAGCTCAGTAGAACCTTGCCGATTACGGACATACATGTACCGGCAGTACTGTATAAGGAAATGTCCTGAGTGAAGAGAGCATGGCTACCAGGGAGTCGATAAAATATCGGTACCGATATTCTGCGACTCCCTGGTTGCTCCTTCATTGGGAAAAGTAGGGACTTCAAAGAATGTGCCCTGAACAAGGCGGTGCACGTGCTTTGGTGAGAGGTGTCCTTTGGTTTCCCGGGTTGCCCCATGTACACGTAAAAATAATAGGCTAGGCTAGGCCGTCGGGTCTGGGGTTGCAAAATGTGGCAGTCAAACCTAGGCTGTAAGTGTTACAGTTCCCACGCTGCTCACACTGACTGGGCCGACGTTTTGTGAACCGTTGTCGTTGGCACCCGTGAATGCTGTGATGTTGATCGATTCTCAAATGGTCAACATCCGACCTTTGTCCTCCCACAATTCAATGACATGCAATGTAAGTCATGAGTGCATGGGTTCAGAAAAATATTTTAAAACTGGCATCAATACAATCCCAAGGCCAGGGTCAACCCTGATTATTTTGATGAATGGAGAGCTGGTGATCCAAGCGATTTTAGTCAGTTTTGAATGGCCGGGCTGACACCACAGTGTAGTAATAGGCCAGAGCCTAGCTGACAGTCGACTGTGCGGAGTACCCCTTGCTGGATACTAGTTTTAAAACACCGACAGAAAAATTAATTTGAAGGATAATTCAGTGCCGTATCGGTGCTGGCAATGTTCCATACAATCATGTTTTGAGTGTGGATAAGGAAGGGGTGCAGAAGTAGCCACCGTATGCCTTGTATGTTTCTGCGATAAAGATGCGCCAGTAGACATAATCCGCTGATCGTTCTCTGCTGCACCGCTGTATTGCGGCAAGTGCAAGTGAGAACGTGCTCAGTGATTTACCACGAAAATTCGAATAGCAAGATTGAACTAAGTACTTGAGTATGGTCTATCCGCGGCACGTCTGGACCATGCACTGCCACAGCCAGTGTGAACTGAGCTGTGAGGGGGTCGTGAAAGTACGTCGTGAACCTTCGCACAGAACTAGTCCTGGGAAGGGTGGCGAGGAGCTGCACTCGGCTGGCCATCATGAATGGCTTCTCCCATCACCTTGATCACTACATCAGGGTGAGTGTCACGCCACACGTGGTGTACTGAGGAAGTGGGTGACAAACCAACGCCGCTCCTCCACCATCCATTAAACCCTGGCTGACAGGCGTAGGATTCACGTAACGTCCACCCAAGTAAAAAATAGCACCACTTTCCACGAAGATCAGAAAGTTAGTTACGACAGTACCTGCCCTGAGGTTCGGCATTACGGCTCCCTCCGTCGGCGGAAAGTCGTGTAGGGCAAAGAATTTCCTTTTCAAAACCTTCTGAGCTATCGTGTCTGCCACAGAGCTGACGAAAAAACTCTTCATGACATTGTGTTGTTGTCTACATCATACATGTTATCTGCACCAGTTTTTACCTAGACTGACCGTGCCATGTTCCTTGCTCTGTCGACCTTCAGACGCTGGACAGATGAATGCATTCCCCCAGTCAGGCTGTGCTTGTAGTACAAACACGCACCGAGAAAGTGTCAGGCCCGTGAAGGCCTCCAGTCAAGGCAAGAAGAAGACTGAATGCACGCAAGTGATTGTGCTTCAAGGCAAGAAGAAGACTGAATGCACGCGGCAAGTGATTGTACTTCAACGTGAACTTGGAAAACCCTACTGTACTGCCAGTCGTTTGCTGTCATCTCAGTAGCGGCCATGGCAGCCGCACCGACGGTCAGCAAAGCGGCGCTGTGTCTTGTTGTGGCCTCTCTTTCAGCTTGTACGACCCATTGCCATGCTTGCAGGGGCTCGCTGCACCCGATAGCTTCAGGTCATCTTTTTATCAGCGATGGCTGACAGTGACAGGTGAACTAATACTTGGCCGTGCACCTGTCCAGTGTTCCCTAATCTGCCCAACACTAAGCATTCACAATCTCCACTCCAGCCAGTCCAGGCGTTCGACGGAGATGTCCATCACTCTCCATCAGTCCCTATGCTGCTTCGACCCAAATCGGGTCTTGCCTCAAGTCTTGGATATGCAGGCATTCAAGACTAGAACAGGACAGGGGCTGAGTCTGAGGTGCAAGCAGCTGATCAAATACCTTGAGTCCACACGGACTGGTACAATGAGCTGCTGACCACGCTCAAGGACCAGGTTCCAGCCTCAACTAAAAGCAACACGGCTCAAGGCCAGTTCACGTCCAGCGTGCCGTGCCAGTGTGAATGGGCGACGCTCATTGCAATATTGAGCGACGGGTGGCCACCGCGTGCCTGAGAGCCCTGACTTCTGCCGCGACGTGCCCAGCCCAGGATGTGTCGGGAAATAGATGCGGAAAGGAATTCCTAAAAAGTACATTGTGTTCAAAGTTGGTGGTCATTTCCCGTCTACAATGCCAATGGTCTCTACACCCACGTCCACCGTGATTGTTGACCTTGCGGATTTTAGTGAAATCTTGTCCAAATTTTGTCTGTTTGCTCAGCAGAGCTAGTCGTATCGTAACCTGATCGAGAAAACAAATTTGTAATGTGCTGAAGCCACGGACAGATAGCAGCCGTATGTACAGGCAGTCAGTGTAATTCGCATTGCTTGTCAAAATCACTTCGAACGACTGACGTTTGACTCGGCATAGATCTCGCCAAGATCCTCAGGGAGGACAGTAGTGTCGAGCGCGAAGTCATTGTTGTGTGTGGCTTCTGAAACGAAGCAGGTACTAGTAATTGGTAAATCTACAGCCAGTAAGGCAAGACTTGTGTTTGCGGAGGAGCTTGGGCCAAGAGGAATGTCCTTGGACTCAGCATTGCAACTCAAAACTATCATAATTCTTTGGCTTTCGTCGGCAGCATAAGTGTTCCATAATGAGATCGCCGGTGTGCTTTGCGGCATTTCTTTGTCGCGTGGCGAGTTTCGCCCACCTAGCGTGCGTTGTATTACTAGCGGGCAGCAGCAGCGGTGCGGAACACACCATGGACCATGTGGAGGCGGTGGCCGACGCTCCTCGGAAATGCAGAGAGACCATTCTGGAATCCCACGCGCCAAGGCACTCGCAGTCACACTATCGCAGGCTGATAGACCTCTATTGCAATGCTGTGCAGATCGTGCCTGGGCCACAACCTAGCGAGCGGAGGCGGAGAGGCCGCGGAATAGCTAAGAGGGAGATCATCCCTCCGGACGAGCGGCGTGCGGTCGGAGACAGTTTCGTTCGGCGACACCCGTTCTCCACAGTGGTCAAGATCTCTACAGGATGCACAGGTTAGCAGTAAGGAAGAAGATTTGCTTTTGTAATAATTATTTCTCTCAAAGATGAACTCCACTGCATTGGTCTGCGAGTGCGAAAGGTTGCTTGCTCGAGTCCCACGCGATCGCACAATGCCACATCTGACTGAAACATTGCAAAGTGCCCGTTACCATGTTACGCGGCTCACCAGATCAAGGACAGTATGGTTCTTCTTCACTCTGTCGGGTGGAGTTGAGCGAGCTGTACTCCCCCCCCCCCCCCCACACACGCACCCCCACCCCGTGCTGGAGAGGTTAGCCCCCCCCCCCCCCCCATGTCTCCACCCCAGGGCCAAGTCATTGCAGTATGGTCATACTGGCCGACATTTATAAAAAAATCCCTCAACTTTTGTTGAGTTACTGAGTACATGGTGTCCTAATGTATTTTGTGTTCTGTGGCATGCACTGCTCTTTGCAATACACACACACACACATGTACACACGTACACACGTACACACGTACACACACACACACACACACACACACCATGTAACGGTTACACACACATATGTACACACGTATACATGTACAGGTGGCCTGATATCTCCGCATCACGTTCTGACGGCGGCACACTGCATACACACAGACGGAGAGTACGTACCAGCAGTGACCATCGGCCAGACGGAGCTGATGAGCGAGACCCTGAAGCGCATTGGCACCTCTCTGCGGCCATTTGCTGCCAGCCTACGCTCCTACCATTGGCATAGCACTACACGCTTTCAGACTGCATCTGCCTGGGCAAAAGACACAAGTCTCAAAACCTCCAGTGATTTCGCTCTCGTCACGATGAATCCGGACGAGTGCATACTGAAGTCGTACATGAAGATGCAGCCGCTGACTGTGAAGAAGCTGCGAACGCTGGTTGGACTTGGCGATAGTGTCATCCATTTCACTAGTTTTGCAGACGACAAGCCCCGAGGCTCGCTCTGGTATCGTAACTGTGGAGTGATCTACGTGGACCGACGGGGCATGATATTCTTCGAGTAAGTGTCACTGTTTTGTGTATGTGTGTGTGTGTGTGTGTGTGTGTGTGTGTGTGTGTGTACATGCATGTGTGTACATGTATGTGTGTGTGTGTGTGTGTGTGTGTGTGTGTGTGTGTGTGTTTTGGCAGTGAGCAAGTACAAGTGTGTGGAAGTGTGTGCATGTCTGTTGTGGATGGGTGTGACTGGTGTGCGCCCTGCTGCGGAAAGCCTGCGACCTCATATTTCTTGTGTGTGCAGTTGAGGTTGTTTTGAAACAGGGAATCACTTTCTCATTAGGCCTTGACAGATTATGCTAGCATAATTTTTCGCATAATTCCTACCAAAATCGAATAATCGCATAATTCGAGGCAAATTGCATACGAATCGCATAAAATTGGAATAATCCGCCTGTTCGCATCAAATTCCATACAGTTGTACATGTTTTACAAGTACACGTACAAGCAAGATTACATAACCCCCCAGAGTGTGCAACGCCTGATCCAGCTCTGCATAGGGTCTTGGTCGAGCGGAATCGGATCTTTGCGTCATAATACCGTACACATCTGAGGGGAACCCGGGGAGTCGCGGGTACTCTTGGATCAAAAACAATGGTGCCCTGCCTCGAGACCGGCCTTGCGCTAGTGTGAAGTGTACGCATGACATCAGAAGATCCGATTCCGCTCGACCAAGACCCTACACAGAGCTGGATCGGCGTTGCACACTCTCTGGGGTTATGTACTCTTGGTACAAGAAGATGCACCAGGAAGTCGTAGGTTTACGACTCCCTTGAGAACATGTCCAGTCCACTACAATCAGTGATGGTCGTAGCTACATGTAGGTCGAACGGTGCGTTGACCCCGTTGAACTTTTGCTACTACAGTACAACGCCCTCTACAAAAATCCCCTGTTATTTTGCACAGAGCCATTATACATTAGCACAAGAGTTATGGACTCTTGATTAGCAGCATATGTGAGCATAAATGCGGCATAATATGATAACTTTTAGCATAAAAATAGCATAATTCTGCAGTTTTTTCAGCAATGCGAAAAAGAATAATTTCACGAAAATATTAGCATAATCTGTCAAGGCCTATTTCTCATGCCTATCACTGATGTACCTTGGGAATGTGAATTAAAAATTCTAGAGCCTCATCTTGAGTATGTCTCAATGCAGCATACAGTCAGACCTCGTTTATCCGGTCCTCTTTTATCCGGATCCCTCGCCATCCGGAAGAAAATGGTTGGTTACTGATTTACAGCATATGCCATGCATACATGCAGTATGTGTGTTCGATTATCCGGTTCCCTCGCCTATCCGGATGCTTTTGTTGAAAACGGATGTGTGCGGTTATGCGAGGGCTGACTGGACACACCTTTAGCTATGTAGCCGTAGTCCATGGAGAAACCTCCATGTCGCTGGGTTTTGCAGGGTTATGGGCTAAGCACCATGGCGCACAGCTAGCACGGTTATGTGTGTCCTCCTTACTGCCTTGACTCCTGGAAGTTTTCAAAGTGGAAAGCGGCACTGTACTGTGCACAGTGTGAGTTAGTGTCACCATTGGTTTACCGATGTGTGATGCATTGCATTGCATACATCAGGGGCGGATGTAGGAGAGGTTCCAGGGGTTCCCAGGAACCCCCTAAATTTCGTAAATGTACTACACTATACTGGCAACCATATGCGTGCCCATGTACATGTACATGTATCAGCTATTCAGTTTTGACTATCCTGGAACCCCCGCCCCTGTAGAGATCACTGGATCCCCCGCTGTAGAGATCACTGGATCCCCCGCTGTAGAGATCACTGGATCCGCCGCTGTACATGCAGACAGACACTGAGAGTAACAACTGACCACTAGACTGGGACATAGCTGCACATCGGAACAAAATAATGTAGTAGAAACACCCCTACTGTACTACTCATGCTCTATGATTGTACAGAGGCATGCATGTTTGTGTATGTTTGTGTATCGCTAACTAACGTAATCGAGTATAGCGTGCTCCACTGTGTTGGAAGAGTGCTCAATGCCTACATTGTATATGACAGAGCCTTCCACACCGGCAAAAGGATGAGGGGAAGCTGTGTCGCAACTTTGAATTTCACGTATTAACTTACTACGATCATCAGGCAACACCATCATACGTGTATAGCTATGGACATAGATTCCCAACCTCTGAATTCTGCTTGTACTGGCATTGTGCATGCGTGTGCTGTGTGCGTTGTACAGCTGCGACGCGACGTTTGGCTCATCAGGCGCCGTGGTCTATGTGTACGTTGTGGAAGGCACCGATCCAAACACCGGTCGTCAGATTCTACGCCGGCGAGTGGTTGGTGTCAACTCAGGCAGTCGATTTGTCACTATAGCGGGTGAGTTTATTTTATTTTATTTTAAAAGTAGAAAGGAAAAGGGCATATGGAAACGAGTTAAGAGTAACTTTAAGAGTATTGGCTCAATACCCGAGTTTCATTTTATTTTATTCATTTTATTTATTTATTTTTGACTATGTTCACATTCCCAGCTCGAAAATATTAAAGCAAGCATAGTGGGTACGTACAGTCGTGGAACACCACTTGGACGGACCCTCGATGCAAGCCGCTGAAGCATCCAATGATTGTTTCATGTACTGTATGTGCGTGCTGTGTCTCCAAACTGGTCTAAGACCACCTGTTTCTTTCATGCAGTATACGTGCATGAATGTGTACTTGAATGTATGCACTTGTGTGCGGTACTGTTTGCTCTGCTGTCGTTGCTGGTGGTTCTGTGGACAAAGACTTGTAATCCGAGCCATGGATTGTTTTAATAGTTTTGTATGTCTTCTAATGACTCTTATTGTCTACATGTGTGTGTGTGTGTGTGTGTGTGTGTGTACAGGTCGGCGGCGGCGTTTGAATGTGGCAACCGGCATCACTCCAAGGAAATACCGCGAGATATGCCGCTGGGCACCGGGTATGTGCGATCTTCCCGAATACCTTGATCGCGAAACCAAGCCCAGCGATAGCTGGATGATGACGTGCGGTGGACCACCCACGACTCCACCTCCGCCAACCACACCCACGCCCTCAGCACCCCCAGTAACCACCACTCAATTGCCGACGGAGGAGCCCACCCAAGAGGCAGCCGTCACCCCCGAAGAGCGTAACACTGAGGAGGGCAGCGCCACGGCCAGTGCAACTGCCGACAATCGCGGACGCACAGGAGCGGGTGGAGAGGGGCAACAAACAGCTGCGCCGGGGACGGAGCGTGCAAACGACGGCGGCACAAGAGAACAAGAATTGCCTCCCACGCCCACTCCCATGCCCACCACCGTTGCAGCCACTACTATTGGCGGTCTCAGTCGCTTTGAGCGGTTTTGCATTGGCCTGGGACAGTCGCTACGCGAAGAATGCCTTCGTCATGCTGCTGGACTTGGTGGATAGGCTCAGTGACATGAACATAGCCTGGTAGGCTTATCTATTTGAACCCGACTGCATGTGTCTCGTTGATTTCCTTTCTTGAGTATGTGTGTGTGTGTGTGTGTGTGTGTGTGTGTGCCTGCATATTGTATGCTTGCTGGCATGTCTGCGCATATGCTTGGTGCGCACATTGATTCATTATAGTATTTGCCAATATATGTTTTGAAGAAGAGGTTGGTACGACTTCGGCGATAGTAGGGGAAGAGTGTCAAATGAGAATTCAAGTCGGCAAGAAAACCGCGAGCTCCCATGTAGGGAGCAACACACTCTTCCCTGAATACATATTTTATTAATATATTTGACTCTTGCATTCGTTGCTGGTCCTATCAGGCAGTGTGTTTTCCGTGTCTGCGTGCGTGTGTGCGCGTGTGTGTGTGTGGCTGTGTGTTCTTTTTGCTGCCGTTTTGACTCTCTTTAATACCCTAAAAGTTGATTTTCTCCAACGAATACCCAGCCACAGAGCTAGAGCTACTAAGTCAGTAGTCCAGATATTCCCGTATGTCACATGATTGTCGCCTTGGCGTCGACAAATGACAGATCAAACTGTGGTGGCTGGAAAGAGCTATCCAGTCTGCTTTAAGAACGATGGAAAGATTCCACCAACCATTGGCAATGACAACGGGCAAGAACAGAAGCCACTGCCCGTCGTCAAGTGACGACGGGCATATTTTCTCTTAAAAAAGAAAGTTCAGCAGTATGACTGCCAGACTCTGACTTGGTCTTGGAGGTGAGACACACGGTCATGAGTCAGGGTAGCAATTCTGACCTGCTGCAGTCTGGCAAGAGTGGCAAGCTACTTCCACCTCTTGATCATGCAGTGGATACTTTAGGCATGGTGTAATAACGGATATACAGTTCTTGATTTTCCTGGCCATCTAAGGTACATGTATCATGCTTCGTTTTGCATTTCTCACTCATTGTCATAGCTGGACGTCTCTACTACTATTAGATAAACCTTGGATTGTTGAAATATTATGTTGTTGTTGGTTGTAACATGCTGTCAGCCAACAACTTAAGTCTCTACTAGCAATCGGGCACCGGCGGATAATGCCGGCAGAAAAATTGGCAGAATTCGGTACTTTTTCTCGTAAGTTTCATGCATGTTTGGTATGTGGATAAAGAAATGGAGCAGAAGTCGAGGAATTGCCCGCCATAAGGTTTGTGTGGTTCTGCCAATTTCACTGCTTTCCGAGCAGAATCTGCCACCTCAGTTTTCGAGCAGAATCCGTCGGTGCCTACTAGCAATCATTGAACAGCAAGTGTGTGATGCCATTTTAGAAAACTGCATGAACAATTGAATGTTGAGGACACTAGCGTTCGCTAGGCTAAGTAAAGTACTAAAGATTCATGTTACTGAACAAACCAAAGCGACACCATGCAGCCATGTCAAAGATCCTCTTCACTGCACCTATTCCGTAATTCACTACTTTCATTTCTAGGGTACCCTGTAAGAAGGCCTTAGGCCTGTGGGGATTGCCCTATCAAAAATTTGATAATAATAATAATAATAATAAATCCTCTAACTAACAGTGGACAGTCCGTCTGATGTGTCTTGCAGCTTGGGAGAGACCACGTGACGTATCAAGCTAGCTCGTCTCAGCTGACTGACTGCACTGCTGATCACGTGATCACAACGTAGACATTCACATAGACCTACTCATGCAGGACCGGCTCAGGCGAATAGCCGCACGAATCGTGAACGCAGTACATGTAGAGGGGACGGTTTCAAATAGGACACCGGTTGCAAACCGGAACGGACTCAGTATTCACTATCTCTCTTGGTATTTTGATTAGAAAACATATGTCACAGTGAGACTACTATGTGTTATACTCCGAGCCAAAATTTCATGGCTCTGCGATGACCAGAAGCGCCATATCAAGCAGGTGAGTTTTTGACGAGTTGCTTCGCACTGCGACTTGAGTTTTACGACTTTCGAAAAATCAACTTCTTGTCGCAGGTAAACAGCGGCTCGCCTCTCGCCAATAAAGCACCGCATACCAATCAAAACTAATGGAAGCACACACAAGGCTTATTGTTACTCTATACTGGCCGTCGTGGAGCGATAGCAATTACCTAATTTCATACCCAGAGTGAATTTGACGTGCACTCTAAAACGTGTCCGGTTTGGAGCCACCTCTGTTTTGAACTTTTTTGAAGCGAAAAATTGGGCAACTTGGAGGCAATGGGTCAACACAAAGGAGTGGCTCAGTTCGATTGACTCTGGCCCCAGAGCAAACTTCAACATGCCAGTTTCCTTCCACAAACATATTTCGAGTGAAAAATCAACGCTGATGATCGGTTTGGGTCTATACAAATTTGGCTGTCAAAACGTCCCGGTATCGAGCCGTCTCCTCTACATGCAGATTGGCCCTTGATGGATTATGCTCGACTAATTGGCAGATTCTGCTCGAAAAGCAGTAAAATCGGCAGAACCATACAAACCCTATGGCAGGCGCTTTCTTGAATTCAGCTCGATTTCATTTTCCACATAGCAAACATGCATGAAACATACCAGAACAAGTTCCAAATTCTGTTGGCAATATTCCGACGCCTAGGACAACGCGTGGGCATGTGGGCCCTTGCAAAGACAAAAACGTGTCAAATTCAGCGACGGTGGTGGTCCGCATGCGTAAACACATAATAATGCGCTCTCTTCTGACTCCGGACAGTTCCGGTCAACTGGTCAATCCCCAGCATGCAACAAACAGTTGAAACACCCATACAGCGGAACCCATTGTGGCTTGCAGCATCAGCTATAGCTGTCGAAGGGCTTCATATGCCTATGCAGTATTCAGTGACGGCCTACCTTGAAGTTATTTATAGGTCCCTATCTCTAACTAACTTACTTGTGACTTTATCACGTGAGAACTAACTTGTCCGGCGAGATCCTCCTCAGATCCTTGACAAGGGAGTCGTACTTTTACGACTTCCTGGTCCCGAGAAGGTGAGATGATTTCAAGTACTAGTAGTACTAGTAAGTAACTAATAATTAGTTGTGTTCGTTTACGACTGATCTGCAGGGGCTGCAGTGTCCGTGACACCGGTGCTGAGTGTGTTTAGCACCTCTCTCCAGGCTAGCCGCCAGGCACGCGCGAAAGGGCTGCTCCAGACAAACTTGACGGCCCGCGCAGCTGCAGGCCGTGGCGACTCCATGCTGCGCTGGGCGGCCCCCGGCTTACTCCATCCATCCACTGCGTTGACCCATTCAGCCCTCAATGGCAGAGCAAAGTTGCCAAAAGCAGAAGAGGCATTCATAATAATTATCACCTTCA